TTAAATATCATAAATCTTTTGTTTGAAACTTTTTTAAATATTTTATACCATTTCGGCGGTATTAGCTCAGAAATATAAAAACCGATTTTTTTTAAGATGGTGTTTCACCCTTTTAATCGTCGTATGGGCACGTATAAAAAAATCCGCGTTTCTTATTTTGACCTAGACTGCAAAATATTTGAAGCCCATCAAAATCGGAGTGTAACACTTGGGTAGGTTTACTTGTAAGCCATACTTAAGTATAAAGAGCTAGCGAGGAGCGGAGCTCCTTGAAACGGCCTGTACTTAACACAGCTCTGGCCAGTCCAGAAACCGATTGCGACCTGTAGGAAAAGTCCGCTCGTGTCTGAGGTACCGTACAAGCCATTGGAATATAGTTTCCAGTACTTACAATAGCGTTATTGGCAAATTGAACAGAGTGTTGGCTGTATTTGAAGATTAAGCCGCGTTATTATTACTAATTACTAATTACTTAATACTAATTCTAATTTTATATATACTAATTACTAATCATATACTTTCTACTGTATTTCATTATCTAGGGCGTACTTATTATAATTTCTCATTGTATTCCATATTCTAGCCGCACCTATTGTTATACGAACGATACTATTTTATATTATACTCAGAACAAGTATAGTTAGTTTACTTACTTGAATAAAGTATTTTATTTCGATACATTAATGTTTGGATTTTACTCCTCAACCGCACACCACGCGAACATGTGTAAAACCGTTCCACCACTAGTAAAGAGATTGTAGGAACGGCGGCAGAGAAAAGTTGCGAAAACAAAAGAATTGCGAATAACCCATGGCAAGAGAAGGAAATTTAAGCCGGTGCAAGGAACTGATAAATATTATGGTCCAAACTCGCAAAGACTAGATCTTCCGAGTGATATGCTGCTTCAACTTCGCAAGGAACATTTTGAAAAGCTTGCTGACAATGCAAAAAATCGTACAATAATAGAAACGAACACAAGAGAGTAAAACGATTCAGATTTATGGAGAGCTTTAAAAGAGGAAATGCTAACTGCTTCGAATTTTGGAGCAGTATGTCGCATGAGACAAACAACGTCCTGTGCAGCAATGGTGAAAAACATTTTATATCCTCCACCTGTCGATACCGCTACTATGAAATACGGCCGCGATAAAGAACACATTGCAAGAAAAGACGTAGCGAACGCAATGAAAATAAGAATTCGAACTTGTGGATTGTTCATTGATCGCGACAGTCCATACTTGGGTGCCTCTCCTGATGGACTTATCGACGATGACGGTTTACTGGAACTGAAATGCCCACAATCGGCTGAGCATTTGACAGCGATAGACGCAATAGAAACAATACGTCACTTACGAAACATCTTCGATAAGAGAGATATACAAGAAATGAATAGGAAGTATTCACCAGTATTTCTACCAAGTACAAGGTCAGTTGCATATAATGCAGCGGAAGTACTGTATTTTCGCTATCTGGACACCTAAAAGCATACGTAAATAGAGACGACGCGTTTTGGACAAATCATATGGAACCTTTCCCAACGCGTTTCTACGAAGAATGCATGCTTCCGGAAATATTGGACAGCCGCCACAATAGACACATGCCTATTAGAAATCCAGAATACATACTACGGGCAAAAGAAGACGCATCAATTCAAAAATCTAGTAGAAAAATCGCAAAAAAGCGTATATATGAAAACATGATACAGAACAGTGCTGAAGCATCAAATATGACCGTTGAAGCAGTAACTAACGAGTGTATCATTGTCAGGAATTCAGACCAAGAAGAAAACTTCATAGATGATGATGTAGGATACTATATATTGGAGACTGCTGTTTCTTCCGTAACTGACGTACAGAAAAATGTACTACCTGTGCAAAGTAAATTAAACGATGAATCGTTAGATCGATTTTTGCGTGTCGTCAGAGAAAGTACTCCTTTTGAAACGCAAAGTGTCCTATACTTACAGTTTACAATATTTATCAAGCCCTGCTAAAGTGACAAAAGCGTGCAAATAATTGGAGGCAACTGTTCTGATCACTGGCGAAGTATCTATTTCGACGGCCGCAAACTCCATGTATACGACAGTTTACCTGGCAGTGCATACAAGCTCGTAGAGGAAGAAAAAAAATATATTGCATTACGATTTCCTCATATTCGCAAAAAGGATATACTTTTTGAAAGAGTTCAGGCGCAACAAGATTGTTACAGTTGTGGTGTATACGCGGCGGCATATATCACTACCATAGTTTTGGGTGGAAACCCTTGCTCAGAAAACTATTCCCATGACGTACAGCGCCTACGACGTCACTTTGTGAATATTATTGAAAATAATATACTCTTGCCCTTCCCGACAAAATAAGAGAATATGTAGTAATATATGCACTGTTGGAGCATAGGCATACGTACACTAAAATCTCGATTAGTGCATTCGGAACTGAATGCGAACTCGAACCGTGTACATACAGAACACGTTTCGTGAATGAGTTCGGCTCGCGTTTGATGTGGTGACAGCCGAGAATCGACGCAGAGTACCGGAAAAAAGCAAGTTTTACCCGTATACGTGTGAGACAATAATAACGCAATCAAAATAAAACCTTTTTATTTTTGAAGTTTTTTTAATGAAAATTTTATTATCGTATTTGTGAGATTTTTCAGATTAGAAAAAGATCAAACATGACATAATTTGAATTATAATTATTTATTTACTTATTTATATGTAAATAAGTAAAAATAATGCAAATTATATGGTGTTTGATCTTATTTTAATCAGTAGAACCTTACAATTACATTGCTGAAAGTTTCATTTAGGAAAAATGAAAAATAAAAAAATTATTGTTGAATTCTCACTCAAATGTTTTTTTTCGGGACCTTGAATTCTCGGACCTCTTTCTCTTTCGCTATTTGTCCGTGTCGTTCTTCCAGCGTCACATTTTCGTTACCTATTCATCGAATATTTTGGCGTAACGCAAAATCAGGAGTCCAGCATAATATTATATTCTATGCTGAAAAAACATACTAACTTATCTGTCTAAAAGAATTTTAATAACTCTGGCAACAGATTTATTTTCGGGATGCTTTTTGTAATCAGTATTTCACCATTCTCCTGTACAGATCGTGTGTAGCAGTAGTGACTGAAAATTAAATCCCGGATATTTTGTGCCGCTGAAATGAAACAATGAATAGTACATATAATAAAGGTGATCGCTGTATGTATTTCCTTTCTACGATGTACATATAGTAATGTTCAGTATGCGAGTGAGGGAGAGAGAGGATGTGTGCGAGAGAGAGGAATAACGAAGTGTGAATGTCGGTGACGAGCGGGTCAAAGCAATATTTCAAAACCATCAAAAAACTATCGATATAACACATTGAATTCTGCCTATAGATGTGCATCTGCTACAACACATGCATAAGTGTTGGTTGCCATCCGCTGGTCATTTGGCTTCTGTTTAGAAAGAAGGTCGGAGACCGTAAAGGCTACGTTCATAACTGCATATACGAGACTTCAAGAAATGTGTATGTACTGAAATTCAATTAGAAGTGAATATTATTGATGTGATGGGTTAGAATTCGACTGCCGTAAAGCGGCCGGCAACGTTTTTCTAAAATAATAATAAAGAAGTATAAAAAGAAGTTGTAAGAAATGAACAAAAGCCAAATAAGTATTATATATCTTACTTATTATTACGGCGACCGGATTACATATATACCCTAACCATTCACTTGTAATTGAGTTTGAATAGACATTTCTTGGAGTCTGGTATATGCAGTTGTGAACGAAACCTTTACTCTCGCTCGACCCAAGTTTATAAATAGAAAAAAATGGCAAACAATCTGACGCATATGTATGCTGTCACAGATCAACAACTATAAGCAGAATTCAATGCATCTATATCGGCAGCTTTTTGCGAATATCTCTGAAACTAGCGAGAACGCTCCTTATATGTATAATAATTTTTATAACATATCCAAAAATCATCGAAATCGGGAAGGACATATTTGTTCTCTAGTTTCACCAAAAAAAAGAATAATAATAGCAACAAAAAATAATGATAGTACATCTCGTGACACGTGGGTTGAAAATCGATATCGTAATCGATAGAACGTCGCGTGAAAAAGAAATTCACACGTCGGAGTTCATCGCCTCTTCCAGGCTCGAACTTTCCATTCAACACGATACATTGTATTGTTCTCGACGGTTCGGTCGACGCTCCATATTCACATATACGAGCTGCGAATGAGCGCGCGGTCGAGCGCAGAAAACGAATGAACTGCGCCCTACAGAAAAAACGAGGAACTAAATTTGTGGTCTGTTTTACCTTTTTGACGTCTTTCGCGAGTGACAATCGTAGAACACAAATTTCGTCTACCTGGAGGCTTGTACATCATCCCTTGGGTACTCGTTTTGTTTTATCCGCCCCAAAGAATGGTGCTCTGGACTCTATTTGAACATACGATTCGCAAAAATGTTTATATTACGAATAAATTAATGCAAGTGAGTCCGATCCGCCATTTTCTTCACCGTTGACAGATATAAATTTCAATATTTTATAACTTTTTGACGATTTGGATAATATAAGGACCAGCGCGCCATTCTTTAGGGCCTCCTGAACACGTCCCTCAAATTTTTTTGCATTCTCTTTAGAAATGACGACGAAAATCGAAAACTCGCGTCTAGGGATTTTTCTAGGGACTGTCGGTAAAGTTTTCGACGCTCGCATCACCTTAATGCGCGAGAAATGGTGGGAATCTGGGAAATTCTGCGCGCTCTAATGCGTGTTGTGGCGACCGTCTAGAGTCCCTAGAATTAGGTTGGCAGCGCTCGAGGCGCCACCTGAAGTAGTAGGATTAACGTGCCGGTACGACGCTAGAAAGATCGGTAGACGCTAGAGACTTTGTAAGCACGCGGTGGTGTATTTCATTAAATATATTATATATTTAACCCAACAATTGGTGACCCCGTCGTGATCGGCGAAGAAAAAAAAAAAGAAAAGAAAAAGATGAGTCTGGGAACCTCGCAGACGCCGGAAGAAAATGCTACCGTGGCTGCGATAAGCGTGAAGGTACCCCCCTTCTGGGTAGAGGAACCCGAAATGTGGTTCGCCCAGTTGGAAGGCCAATTTCAAATTGCTGGCATCACTCAGGACAATACAAAATTCGCGTATGTCATTGGAAATCCCGAAGGAAAATACGCGAAAGAGGTGGCGGATATAATTACGCGCCCCCCTGACACAGGTAAATATGAAGCCATCAAAAGACAGTTGATTCTTAGGCTGTCTCAGTCTGAAGACAGGAAGCTGAAGCAACTCCTGGAGCGTGAAGACCTGGAGGACAGAACACCTAGCCAGTTCCTCAGACATTTGAAAAGCCTCGCCGGGGATCAGATTCCTGAAAAACTACTAAAAAGCATATGGCGCAGTAGGTTGCCGCCAACGGTACAAAGCATCATGGCGACGCAGGATAAAACATCGTTGGAGGATGCATCCGTGCTAGCGGATAAAATTTACGAGCTAGCACCGCATGGCACAATGGCGGCGGTAGACCGGCCACCACCAATCAGCGACCTTGAGCGGAAGGTCGACGAATTAACGCAGTTGGTAGAAGAAATGACCCGAACTTCGCGGCCGCCATGGCGTGGCGGCAGACGCAGCAAATCGCGCGATCGCAGCGCCAGCAGGGGAGGTTTTTCTTCACGGCAAACGGCCGGACGAACCAGCGCGCCAAAAAGAAAGTTCGACGACTGCTGGTATCACTACAAGTTCGGCGATAAGGCTCACAAATGTATCCCGCCATGTAAGTATTCGCCGGGAAACTAACCGGTCGTGCCGATGTGGCGGCAATCGGACCGCCGGAAGCTTCCCGCCGTCTGTTTGTACAGGATAGGTGCACGAAAACGCCGTATTTAATTGACACGGGATCGGATGTAAATGTATATCCCGCGAATTGGTGTAATGGACGTCGCAAAAGCGGCGATTACACTCTATATGCTGCTAATGGCACTAAAATCCGGACGTACGGTGAGCTGTCCATGACATTGGATTTCGGTCTCCAAAGAGAGTTTCAGTGGGAACTAATTGTCGCTGATGTACCGAAGCCGATAATAGGTGCAGATTTCCTTGCCAAATACGGGCTTCTGGTGGATTTAAAGGGTGCTCAGTTGGTCGATCGGGAAACTGGACTGGCCATGCGAGGGAAAATCGCGCAGGCGCATGGATCAGTCAAGACAATTTCCCATGCTGATCCTGTGGTTTTTGAGTTATTACAGGAGTTCGCCGCAATAACACGGCCCATGCATCCAGCCCAGCCACCGAAGCACAGCACCGTGCACCACATCGCTACTCGTCCTGGACAACCACTGGCCAGCAGAGCTCGAAGGCTGGCACCTGACCGTCTGGCGGCAGCGAAAAAGGAATTTGAGCAGATGTTGAGTAGAGGAATAATCAGGCCGTCGAAGAGCTGTTGGGCATCGCCACTCCACCTCGTCCAAAAGAAGAATAAGGAATGGAGACCATGCGGTGATTATAGAGCTCTCAATAACGTCACAATTCCTGATAGATACCCAGTTCCGCATCTCGAAGATTTTCTCATAACCTTTTCAATAAGACGATATTTTCAACCATAGATCTTGTCAAGGCATATCACCAGATTCCTGTTGCCGAAGAGGACATACCAAAGACAGCTATAATTACTCCTTTTGGTTTGTACGAGTTTTTATATATGACCTTCGGCCTTAGGAACGCGGCCAGACTTTTCAAAGGTTTATGGACGAGGTGGTGAGGGGCCTGGACTTTTGTTTTGTGTATATTGACGATGTGTTGGTGGCATCACAAAACGAAGAGCAACATCGGCAACATCTGCGGCAGCTGTTTGCAAGATTGAAAGAGTACGGTGTCGTAATCAACCTGGAGAAGAGCGTATTTTTCCGGAAGAAGGTGACCTTTTTGGGCTACGCCGTCAGTGATCAGGGGATCACACCGCCGCCGGAAAGAACTGCAGCCTAAGACAATTGACGATTTGAGACGTTACCTAGGCATAATAAATTTTTATAGAAGATTTCTCTCTGGAATAGCGAATGTGCTGGCACCTCTGGAGGTATTGATTAAGTGCCCTGGTGACAAGAAGAATGAAATTACATGGTCACCTATGGCAACTCAAGCCTTCGAAGAAACGAAGAAAGTTCTGGCCAACGCAGCAACTTTGGCATACCCGGTCGACGCTTCCAACGTCGCAGCCGGCACTTCACCCCAGCAGAGGACAAACGGGAAATGGCAGCCACTCGCTTTCTTCGGGAAGAAATTCAATAGAGCACAGACACAATATAGTACCTACGATCGCGAGCTATTGGCGATGTATCAGGCAGTTAGGCATTTTAAACACATAATTGAGGGTCGGCATTTTGTAATTTTTACCGACCATAAACCCCTTGTATACGCGTTTGTACAAAAGTTGGAAAAGTGCACGCCTATACAATTTAGGTATCTCTCATATATTTCTCAATTTACCACGGACATTCAGCATATTTCAGGGAAGGACAATGTCGTTGCTGATGCGTTATCAAGGGTAGCGGAAGTAACGGCAGCTATTGATTATACAATCCTGAAGGAACGTCAAGAAGACGACGCTGAGCTGCGGCAGTTACGAGCTGATAGTGGCCTGCACATCAAGAGAGTTTTCCTTCCGGATGTGCGGGCCGAGGTATATTGCGACATTTCCACCGGGAGGGCAAGACCATTTCTGCCTCTCGGGTTCAGAAGGGCAGCTTTCATCCCTAAGTCATCCAGGAGCAAGGGCAACTCAGCGGCTAATGACAGAGAGATTCGTGTGGCCTGGAATTAGAAAGGATACAAAGGAATGGGCCAAGCACTGCGTTGCGTGTCAAAAATAAAAAATCAGCAGACACATGAAGACACCACTAAGCGAATTTCCGTTGCCCTCAAAACGCTTCGAGCATTTGCACATTGACCTGGTTGGACCACTGCCGCAGTCTGGTGGGTATACTTATTGTTTGACGTGTGTCGATAGATTTACCCGATGACCGGAAGTGATCCCATTGCCGGACATTGCTGCGGAGACAGTGGCAAGAGCGCTCCTCAATGGTTGGATTGCGAGATTTGGAGTATCGCTCAGGATAACTACAGACCAGGGCAAGCAATTCGAATCCTGCCTTTTCGGAGCCCTTACACGTCTCCTGGGAATCAAGCATCTGCATAGGCAGTTGAAAGCAGCCATCAAGTGTCAAGGGCAGGAACGCTGGACGGAAACCTTGCCGTTAGTCTTGCTAGGAATTCGTTCAGCCTTCAAAGAAGACATCCAGGCGACGTCGGCTGAGTTGGTCTACGGGGAGTCTATCCGACTTCCTGGGGAGTTCCTGGTGCGAGGGTCAGAGGTAGACATCTCACAGTTCGCGCACCAGCTGAGGGAGAAAATGGAGCAAGTCCGGCCATGTGAACCTGCGCGACATGAAAGAAGAAGAATCTTTGTTTTCAAAGATTTGCAGTCAGCCACTCACGTTTTCCTGCGGCAAGACGATGTCAAAAGACCGCTTCAGGCACCGTATTCAGGCCCGTACGAAGTTTGTGATAGAGGGGCCAAGCAATTTACCTTAAGAATTGCAGGAAAATATGTTAAAGTGGCAGTAGACAGGATTAAGCCGGCTTTTATCCAGCAGGATGTCGAGACTGTAGAACCTGTATCAAAGACTATACCAAACTATACCAAATACCAAATCGAAACTATACCAAAGACTGCGCCAAAATCAAAACGCCGCGTGAGATTTATAATTTAAATAGCGACTGCGATCATTTTATTTTATATTATATAGAGGTTAATTTTTCCTATTCTTTTATATGTTTATACGTAGATTTTTTTTTTTATGTTAGATATTATAAACCTTTCTTGTGCATCATTATATTTTGTAATGTTAGTATTTAAGCATTATTGTATAAATGTGCAATGTAACACTCCTTTCACCTTCGTTACTGGGAAGGGGGTGGTGTGGCGACCGTCTAGAGTCCCTAGAATTAGGTTGGCAGCGCTCGAGGCGCCACCTGAAGTAGTAGGATTAAGTTAATCCGATTAACGTGCCGGTACGACACCAGAGAGATCGGTAGACGCTAGAGACTTTGTAAGCACGCGGTGGTGTATTTCAATAAATATATTATATATTTAACCCAACAGTGTGTAACGTGAAACGTTATCGCGTGAATATGTTTAGAGTGGTATGGCGACATTGTCGTGGCAATATTTATCGATGGTCTGTTGTATCGATATGTCTCGAATATTTGTCGAGGACCTTTATATCGATGGTTGTAAATCAAGAGCGAAATTTAAACACCATCTGCGCGTACACTTATATAAATAAACAAAGCCTGAATTGTAAACCCCTTGACGTGGGTGATCGAGCTGAGAGAAGACCGGAAATCCAGAGAATGGAATAGTTTCACTTCGAAAATTCCTAAAAGACTAATTTATGATAGACCATAGCAAATTCGTTGTTTTCGACCAAGTCACGAACGATCCTTAAAAGTTACGAAGTCTTTTTCCGATATCCTGTCTTTTCATGCACTCCAAGAGGGTCGTAAATTTCCTCAAGAGTTGTCTTTTGCCAAGTTCAAGGTCTTGTCGTTTCCTATTTTCTCTGGGTCCCACGCTTTCTCGTAGCACATGTGCGCTGTAATGTCTAGCGGCTTGGTGGAGCGCCTCCACTTCCACGCGCCTGAGGGTGGACCACAGGCAGGAGAAGGGGCCTACACAGGATGGGGTGGATTCCTCCACCATTGGACGAGGGATGATCCTGAGGGAGGATCCAGGATCCACCAAAGAAGGGGTATCGACCGACATCGCGCGAAGATCTCCTCCGCCAAACGTAGAATGACCAGAAAGATTTTGTCAGCTAAAATCGACGGGTCTTTCTCAATTTGCAATTAAAACGCATTTTGGGAACTTCAGAATTTTTTCACGGATTGACAAATAAATATCAAGTTTAAAACAGTGAACTTTCACTTTTGTCAAATTCATTTTCGCGCCTTGTGAGCGGAGCACCTCAGCGCTCCACGGATTATCTTGCCTGCGCCTTTAAAATCCCGAAAATCCCTATTACCGCTAAACGGACACGCAACACGTGCATTGAATGTGTTGCGAACCTCGCCTGTATGTATGTGTGCAATATCGTGTGAATTTAGCTGCAGGCTTGTAATCGCAAGTGTTGAAAGAAATGTAATATGGCGATGATGCCATAAGAGTATGACTGCAGCATGTCTGCATTATGTTATATCAATGCTCATAAATTAGGAGCCAAAATTCAAAGGAATAAACAAACAATAGATAAGACATTGTAAAACTTTCAACACGGGTGATCGTGCTGGGAGAGAGTTGGAAATCCGGAGAAATAAGACTGTCACACTTGAAATTTCTAAGAAACTAATTTATTGCGGGCCGTATCTAATTCGTTACTCTTAACGAATATCATGTTGGTTCTTGAAACTGTCGAAGTCAGTTCGACATCCTGCTTATTTACAGAGGGTCGTAAATTCTTTTAAGGGTTGCCTTGACTTGCTAGCGCGAGACCTTTTATCTTCCGTTTTCTCTGGATCCCACGCTTTCTCTTAGCACGTGTGCACGGAATCGTTCTCGAATCTTGGCGGAGCACCACCATCTTCCACTCGCCCAAGGGTGGACCGAAGCCAGGGAGAGGGACCGCCTCCGGACAGGGATGGGCTCCTCCACCATTGGACCAGGAATGATCCTGAGGGAGGATTCAGAATCCAGCGAGGAGGGGAAGGCAGCCAACATCGATCGAAGATATTCACCGCCAAGCTCAGATAGATTCCAAGCTTCAAACCGCCTGCATACATTTTTGTCAAAATTATAGTCAGGAAATAAAGTATAATTTTTTATTTCCTACGCAAAAGTGTTTTGTCTTATTAAAAGCCGCGCCGCGAGCAGAGCGCTTCGGCGCTCCACGGGCACCTTACCCACGTTCGGCATATCCTAAATATCCGTAGAACACTAAATTCACACGCAACAAATGAAACGGAACGGTTCTCTATGCAGTCTATGCGCTTCGGTGGAAACTAACTCAATCAGTGTGTGGCGTTATTCAGATTTTCATACAGCCTAGTTCACAATTTAGTGTGGCTACGTTCACTCATACGGGCGAGAATTGGAACAATACTAATGTTGCGAGATTTTTCGTGGTTTTAGAGATTTTCTGTCCAAGAAAAGTGGATAAGTTGCCCGTGGAGCGCTAAAGCACTCGCTCACGTGAATTATTTTAAGAAAACGAAACTGATTTTAAACTATTTAAATGAACTCAACTTTTAGCAAGAAATAACGTTTAATTAAATGAATTTGAACAAGAACAATAAACTGAATGTGAAAAATGGTTTTACACGAGCGTTACTTCTCTTGAGCGCAGGATAAAGAACAAAGAACAAAGATTTATCAAGGATTGCCTATATATATAGCTCCTGATCACTAAGTAAATAATCGGTAGCAACGCTCATTAATTTTAGTCCTTGATTAACATTTTGATAACGAAAAACCGATTCTCTTTTACTGATCGAGCTATATGATAAGGAATCCTTGATTAACAATTTAATAACGAAAAACTGATTCTCTTTTGACTATTTAAATTTGATGCGCTTCAGCCACTACATTCAATTTTCTATACAACCTAGTTCAGAATTGATTCCGCTCCATACAGCCTAGTTCACAATTGATTCTGTATCTATGTTCACTTACACCGGCGAGGATCACAACACTAAAATAGAAAGTGCAGATGGCGCTCATTCTCGAGGTTGTTACGATCCTCGCTGGTTTAATACTGTTGCGTGTCCGTCGCGGAAAATAGGGATATTCGGGGATTTAGGTGCAGGTGTGACAGTCCGTGGAGCGCAGAGACGCTCCGCTCTCAAGGCACGGATATACAAAATAATAAACTGTAATTTTGTTTAGAGTACTTTAATACTGTGTATTTCAATTTAAATCGGAACTTTAAACTTTGCGTTATTAAGGCTTAGACCCTTCTGAGTGAGAACGACTTGTTCGTAACGAGTGACAAAATCATTCTGCCGGTTCTGCGCTTGGCGGAGGAGATCTTCGCGCGTTGTCGGTCGATGCCCCTTCCTTGGTGGATCCTGGATCCTCCCTCAGGATCATCCCTCGTCCAATGGTGGAGGAGTCCACCCCGTCTCGTGTGGGCCCCTTCTCCTGGCTGTGGTCCACCCTCAAGCGCGTGGAAGTGGAGGCGCTCCGCCAAGACGCTAGAATGTTGCAGCGCACATGTGCTACGAGAAAGCGTGGGACCCAGAGAAATTAGGAAACGACAAGACCTTGTACTTGCCAAAGCAACTCTTGAGGAAATTTACGACCCTCTTAGAGTGCATGAAAAGACAGGATATCGAAAAAGACTTCGTAACCCTTAAGGACCGTTCGTGACTTGGTCGAAAACAACTAATTAGCTATGGTCTATCATAAATTAGTTTTTTAAGAATTTTCCAAGTGAAACTATTCCATTCTCTGGACTTCCGGCCTTCTCTCAGCTCTATCACCCACGTCGAGGGGTTTACAATTTACTCTTTGTCTATTTATATAAGGATACGCATAGACGATGTTTGAATTTCGCTCTTAATTTATGACCATCGATACAAAAGGTCCTCGAAGAACATTCGAAAGATATCGATACAATAGACTATCGATGAATATTCCCATGGCAGTGTCGCCACACCACTCTAAACATATTCACGTGATAACGTTTCACGTTACAATACAATATAGATGCGAAACGCATTGTGAACCAAGCTGTATAAATTATGAACTACGTTGTAAGGAAAGTTGAATGTGGTGGCTGAAGTGCGTCAAATTTAAATTGTAAAAGAAGAACAGTATTTTGTTATAAAGGACTCCTTATTATACAGCTCGATCAGTAGAAGAGAATCGGTTTTTCGTTATCAAATGTTAGTCATAGATAGAATTAATGAGCGTTGCTAACGATGATTTACTTAGTGATCAGGAGCTGTATGTATAGGGGAACCTTGCGGAATCGCTGTCCTTAATCTTTTGTCCTTTGTTCTTTGTAAGCGCTCAAGAGAAGTACTCGTGTAAAACATTTATTCAATTTATTGTTCTTGTTCCAATACATTAAATTTAAAGTTAATCGTTATTAAAAGTTTAGTTCATTTTAAATAGTTAAAAATTAGTTTTCTTTAAAATAATTCACGTGAGCAGAGTGCTTTAGCGTTCCACGGGCAGCTTACCCATGTTGCGTGTGGATTTCACAGCCGACTCTAGTACTGGCCATGCTGAACAACGTGGCAACACCGCTCACGTGACAATCGGGAGTCCTATTTTCAAAAACAGAGCCCTGTGCTCGGAATTGTAATTAACGTCTTTTTTAATTAAAAGCTGTAGTAATATACACTATTTTGTGTTAATTATGTATAAACAATATATAAACGTTGCAAATATGGCAAATAGAAGTGATGTGGTAGTATAAAATTGTTATAAATGTGATATATATTTTGTGTACTCTCAAAGTAGTTTGGTGTTGTGAAGCATGATATTTGAAATATTTACAGTGGTTTCAAGAAAATTTAGGTATGAAGCAAAATGAAACCATCTTTGGATCAAATTGAAACATTTAAGAATTGATAAACGTGTATATAAGTTAATAAAAACCTTGAAACAAGCGAAATTATTGGAATGAAACCAACGAGGTTATGTGAAGTCCAGAGAGTAGTCGGGAGTCTGACGACGTTGATTGGCTGAGAGTCTGGGAGTCCGGGAGGCAGATAGGGTAGGGTAGGTGTTGATATATTCAGACCGGACTCCCGCGGTGTTGCCATTTTTTACTTCAGCACGGCTAGTACTAGAGTCGGCTGTGGTGGATTTAGTTATCTAGGGATATTTTAGGATGCGTATAACGTGGGTAAGGTGCCCGTGGAGCGCTAAAGCGCTCTGCTCGCAGCGCGGGTTTTAATAAAACACACTCTGCGTTTAAGAAAAATGAAGTTTAGTATAACTTTATTCTTAAGACTTTTCTCTCCAGAAATTGAATCAAGACGGGTTGAAGTTTTGAATCGTTCTGAGCTTGGCGGTGAAGATCTTCGATCGATGTTGGCTGCCATCCCCTCTTCGCTGGATCCTGAATCCTCCCTCAGGATCATCCCTGGTCCAATGGTGGAGGAGCCCATCTCTGTCCGGAGGCGGTCCCTCTCCCTGCCTTCGGTCCACCCTTGGGCGACAGGAAGATGGTGGTGCTCCGCCAAGACTCGAAAACGATTCTGTGCACAAGTGCTAAGAGAAAGCGTGGGATCCAGAGAAAACGGAAGATAAAAGGTCTCGCGCTAGCGAGTCAAGAGAATTTACGACCCTCTGTAAATAAGCAGGATGTCGAAGAGACTTCGACAGTTTCAAGAACCAACATGATATTCGTTAAGAGTAACGAATTAAATACGGCCCGCAATAAATTAGTTTCTTAGAAATTTCAAGTGTGACAGTCTTATTTCTCCGGATTTCCAACTCTCTCCCAGCACGATCACCCGCGCTGAAAGGTTTACAGTGTCCTATCTTTTATTTATTTATTCCTTTGAATTTTGGCTCCTAATTTATGAGCATTGATATAACATAATGCAGACATGCTGCAACCATACTCTTATGGCATCGACGCCATATTACATTTCATTCAATGTTTGTGATTACAAGCTTGCAGCTAAATTCACACGATATTGCACACATACATACAGGCGAGGTTCGTAACACCCACGTTCCTTGGATTTAAAAATCCCTAGAATTACGAAGAATCTCGCAACAAGATATTGTGGTGCTACCGCTCCAACAGCGTCACGCTACCGCGCCTGAGCTGACTCTCTAGAGTCTCAGTCTCATGGGCCGGTATTCAGAGTCGCAACTTACTTTACTGTACTTTATTGATTTCCTGATTGTAGGCGTTTCGAGCCTTCGGGTGGCTTACTTTAGGAGCTTATAGTCAATCTGCTTCTTTATGCCCAACGAACGCTATCGGCCTCACGCATTATCGCGCTATTCTTCAAGTACATTATTTTTATGCTATATGCTTCTGGACTTTTAATTCCACTCATATTTGTCCATACTTTTAGAATCTCACACTCTTTCTGTACCTTTAAGTCTACTCATCTTACTCGTTCCTTTACAATTTGTTGCCAACGGCACACGGTAACCCATCTTTCGGCGAAACCGTGCCCATTAGCTTGACTTCGGTGATCTTACGGGTACCGGTGTGGCCTAAGTGGCTAGGGCCGTTGACGAGTCGCAACTTATTTCTAAGCTGGTCTTAAGCATATGCTTAAGACATTGGTTAGATTCACAGTTACCGAATAAGCAACTTCTTAAGCATATGCTTAGGAAAGTAAATGCTTATCGCTGTAGATTCACAGTCGATGCTTAAGAAAGTCTTAAGTTCTTATGAATGCATAGTCGAATAAATCCGCCTTATTTGTAGAAAAAGAGTTCTTATTTGGCTTCATTGAGGTTATGTTTTTAAGTCGACGATATTGAGGACTTAAGCACGCGTTTGAAGGTGTTATTGTGCAGTGATGAACAATTTATTTTGATTAATTGTGGTTTGATATCGAGGAAATCGATGATATCGAGGACATTGAGGACATTGATAATAATTTGTATATATATCCAGGAATATCAAGGCGATACATTCGACACGAGAGTGATCCATTTGATTGTTTTGATGCGGGAGAATTCCGCAGACACTACCGATTTATCAAAGACTCTGTTTTAAATGGAATTTTGCCTAAAATTCAAGCAGGGTTGCAGAAAGGTAATAATCGCGGTTTACCGATCCCTCCTGCGATGCAGCTGTTAATTTGTTTACGGTATTATGCTACTGCAAGTTTTCAAGTAAGTCATATAAATATATCAGTATCACTACTCCTAAAAGAAGTAGAAAAAAATAAAGATTATCTATATATGTACTGTAATTGTAGCTTATTCTGGGAGACACAATGAATGTTTCTCAGCCCACAGTCTTCCGCATAGTATTTAGGGTGAGTTCACTAATAAGCAGTCTGATGACGGACTATATCAAGTTTCCCAGGGAACCGGACAATTCCACTCAAAATCGCAGGTTATTGAATAATTTGCGACAGGGAAACGGAGCTATTAGTTTACCAGGTGTGGACTTTATATCATTATAACTTTTTCTATATACACATATACATACATACATACATATACATTGTAATTGACCAGGTGTGGATGGTGCTATTGATTGCACCCACATTAGATTAACAGCATCCAGGTTCAACAACATGGAAGAAATGTACAGAAATAGAAAAGGATATTTTTCATTGAATGTTCAGGTATGTCATTAAGTTATTTATTTTACCCAATATTCATTGAAATGAACCATATTAATATTTTACTCGACTGATTGATGCATAAATTAACATTAAATTATTCGATCGACACAGGTACAATGAAATCCAGATCAGGACCCGACAGATAGTAGAAAGAACGTTCGGTGTTTGGAAGCGCCGTTTTCCATGTCTTACAAGGGGTTTAACAACGAAGTTCTTATGTTCAACAACAACGGTAGTTCCATGTGCTGTGTTGCATGATTTAGCCCTAATTTTCAATGACATTCTTGTAGAAGAAGATGAAATTGAAAACCAAAATGAAGATGGAGAAGAATTATTAGGAAACGTGGACAATGTTAATGGCATTGATGGATTTGCTACACGTGAAGCACTCATTGCTTGTATGTTTCATTGAGTAATTGTGTCAAATGAAATGTAATAAGGGGTTTTTTATGCCTATCGAGCCAATAAATAATCATTATTCTTTCGGCTCAAATTGGTTTAATTTATTGATTAAAATACCCTCATCCTCAGTCATATCACAACCTATACCTTGAACCCGTAATTTCAGTCGTAAGTTTAATTTTGTGTTATTTTGTGTTCGTATTTCAGAATGAAACTTTAAATATAAGAGATTTTTATAACGTATGTGATAACATTAATTATAAAATTGTTCTTAATAAGTTTGGCTCTGTCTATCGCTCGCTCAATTATTTGAATTCAATTTAAAAACCGCGTCACTAATTGTAAGTAAGAAATAATGCTTCATTTTCAAGAATCATTTTCATTGGTTGTTACAGTAGAAAATCGACGGAAATAGCCGAACGATAAATAAGCATTGCATAAGCATGGACTTCATTAAGCAAAGCTTAAGCATCGCTTCCTTAACTAAGTCGGTCTTATTCTCCGACTCTGAATACATAGCGACTTACATTACATTACATTACATATTGGCTTTACTCGGGCCAAAGCCCAGAGATGGCGTTCGGAAAGGGGGGCAACCCCCCTATATTGCCCAACGAAAACGGCGGCCTTCACAAAAATCAAAGAACTCACGCAAATTCATTACAATTCCAGCACAAACGCATTTCCGCTCGCATTTCTATTTATTGCTAAAGAGAAAAGAGAGGAAAAGCTAAAGTAAAGTATATTTACCATCCTGCTTACCACTCCACGAGAGACGATCCCACGAGACTGATCAGCAAAAAGGCATCAAATAATCTTACCCAATTTATCCAAAAATTTATACACTTTCTTACACACTCCCAAATTCCCACACATCAGCATTTCCAGTACCTCCATTCCTTGAGAAAAACCTTTCTCTTCCAAATACGCAACCAAACACAGCCTATCTATCAAAAACCTATCACATTCCCAAATAACATGTTCCAAAGACTCCTCAGCACTTCCACAAATACACTCCTTGTTTTCCACCAAATTCTTTCTGAACAAGGATTCGCCCAAGTTGAAATGATTAGCCCTTAACCTGTTCATCCTAGTCAAAAATTCCCTATCCATTCCCTTAATCTTAAAAAACCAAGATCTCTTATTGCCCACATTATTATTCCGATTATTGAAATACTTCACACCCTTAAACAAGCCAATTCTACACATTTTACTCGAAAACCTCCTCCACGCCTCCTCCATAAGGAACAACCTAATATCCCGCTCCGACACCCCAGGAGTCACATCATCCTCTACAAAAGTTGCAGAGCCCGCCAATGTATCTGCTCTGTCGTTGCCCTCAATACTTACATGGCTTGGGACCCAAGCAAATGCCACATTCATAACCGTAATATCCACTCTTCCATTAACCAGTGTATTAATTCTAAGTTTCCTCATGATTTCGTGAACCCAGGGATTGTCCCCTAGCTCCGAACCAATATGAGCAATCTTTTCCAAAACGCTAGCCGAATCCGTAACAATCAAAAAACGGCCAGTTTTAGACTTGTTAACATACCTTAGCGCTTGTAAATCGCAAAAGTTTCGCCCGAGAAAACAGAGGAGGCCTTATGTAGGGACCAAAATGTCTCCTCCCAAGAGCCGTTCTCTTGTCGAACCGCAAGACCCGCCCCTACAGAGAGGCCCTCCTTTTTTTTTGACCCATCCGTATACATTTCAATCACCCTATCCTCCTCTTCCCTATTCCAAAGGCCCCTTTTAATTTCGCTAAAAAGAGCTCGATCACTCATCACCGTATTTTTCCTTAATTTCCCCATCTCCCAATTTACTCTAAACCCTCCATCCCTTATAAACTTTCCAAAATCTAACCAATCCTTTCTGTTCACATCCAGACTTTTATATACATCCACCCAGGACTCGAGTTTCATCCAGAATCTAGACCAAGGCTCCATTTCCTCCCAGTTCAACTCATCTCTAATGATCACAAAGTTCAGAAGACATTTCCTCACGAAGCTTGATTCATTGAACCTATGTTTGAACTGTCACGTAGACAGACCGTTTTTATCAAACGTGTCTCCTTTCAAATAAGCTTAAACATCTGGAAAGGAAAACTCTCGGGCAAACCGACCATTTACTCTCGTAATAAACAGAAGGCCCACCGATAGCAGAACCAAACACTTGGGAAAGCAATGGGTCCGCCGTAATCAAATAGCAGATGCAACCACTCTAAACTGTCGCAGAGGCAGGTGGACCCAGCCTGATCACTCGAATAGTAACCAGACCACCCTTCTTAATTAGTATATAAACCCGTTCGTACCAACGATCGGGGGCAGTACCAGAGTTCATCTCGTGTCGAGCACGTCGTGTACGGTAGTGAGTTGGTTACTATTAGTGAGATCGGGTTGAAGTCCCCTTCGAGCAACATTCACCTTATAGAATCCGCGAGTCGTGTTTCTATTTGGCATTACAATCAACCACACACAACACCCCCGCATTGCCAGTGCGTGAACACCGAGCATAGTGGAAATAGGTAATATATCACATTATACACCTATATTCGCGACAACAACATCTGTAATAGACCAAGATTATAGAATATATACATTGCTGTGTCAAACCCACATTAGCATTCTCCTTTAAACCCAGTGAAACCTTGTGACAGTTCCTACCACAATACAATCTTACCGCTCGGGTTGTATTGATAATAAAATAAGTTACGCGGCCGCCAATCAGAAAGCCTCTGATAGCCACGCGCGCTGCCAAGCCGTCGGCCACGTAACAGAACACGAGTCTCTCCGTCAACACTTCCACCCTCGTTTCCAAGTCCATCACACCAGTTTCAATGTTCATAACATTAATGGGCGTAGTAATCCTATACCCCATCGCAATTCGCAAACCCGCATTTTGGAGCTTGGTCAATTTCTCCCTCCCCTTCTTGTTGTCCCAAAAATACACAAATATACCATATTCCAAAACCGACCGAACCAAACCCTTAAAGAAAGCCAGCATAGTGCTGGGGTTAACGCCCTACCTGATACCAGCCACAAAACGTAGGATATCCAGACGCTTCTTTGCCTTATTACAAACATAATTTAACTGACTATTAAATGACAAACTTTCATCCAAAATAACTCCAAAAAACTTCACTTCTCTACTACTTTCTATAACCATGTCTTCCACAGTCAACCTGCTCACCATCCCAACTCTAGCCCTGTTCCTTGTAAAGTTAATCCATTGAGTCTTTTCCATTGCCAAATCCAAATCAATCGATCTCAGATTGTGGATGATCGACTCCACCGCACTTACCAACAGACGCTCCCTATCTTCCTTGTTTTTGCCCCAAACGTACACCACAATGTCATCCGCATACAACAACACTTTCCTATTCTCCAGCTCAATATTAGAGCAGATATCCGAGGAGTAAATATTATACAGGGAGATTCTCTCGGCGCGCAACACAATAGCCGCCCCGCACAATGGAACCCTGCTGTGTTTGCGGGCAAAAAGCCCAGGTCAAGTCGCCGGACCCAAAGCACACAGAGCAGTCTTGGGTCCGGCGATTTGACTTCCTGGGCTTTTTGCCCGCAAACACAGCAGGGTTCCATTGTGCGGGGCGGCTATTGTGTTGCGCGCCGAGAGGATCTCCCTGTACAACAGGGGACTCAGAACCGATCCTTGCGGCAAGCCTCTGGAAATTCGCCCTGAGACTTCAGGGTCAAATTTCCTCTTACACGTTGCCATCCTATTTTTAACCCAACTACATAAGTATCTTCCAATTGACCGCGGACACCCTTTGTCCCTTAAAATTTCCAACATCTTCTTATGATTTACTCCATCAATCCACAAAGATCGCAGAGATATCCTCCTTGCGTCGAAAGGCTTCTGTGACGTCCAGTGTCAGAGCCATAAGGTTGTCCAAAGTGGACCTACCCCTCATGAAACCGCTCTGCCTGTGATCGACAATATTAGCCTGCTCCACCCACTCCTGCAAACGCCCCTTTACCAATTTCTCCAACAACTTCCCCAAACAATCTATTAAGGAAATGGGCCGCACCGCCCTCTTTCCGGGTTTATCCAAAAACCTAATTACGACTCTCTTCCAACGTTCCGGGATACACCCGGAGCTCCACCCCCAATTGTACATTTGCAGAAGCAAATTTTTCATATTGCCATGCATGCCCTTAAGGAAAGCATACGAGACATCATCCTCCCCCGGGGCAGAGGAACTTTTGGCCCCTTTCAGTGCTCCATTAAGCTCCTGGGTAGTAAACAACCCATCACTACTCCAATCCCCTTCCATGCACTCTACATCCGAGAAAAGGCTGTCCGTGACCTCCGCCGAGGGCCCTAACCCGTCCTGTCCCGAGCCTAGAATCTTCACAGTCTCCCTATCCTCTAATAATCTTTTTTCATCCCGGGGGATAGCCTCCCCTTCCCTTGAAATCCCATTCCTAATGTTCTTGATCTTACGCCAAGCATCCTTTGAACTCGTAAAACAATCGATAGAGTTCGCAAAGTCATCCCACGCCTTGCTTTTTTCTTACCCACCAAGGAGCGCATAGTTTTCTCCGCCTCACATAATGCCAACCAAGAATCCTGAGACGGCCTACGAATATAGTTCCTTATAGCCACCCTTCTACCCTTCTTAGCTTCATTGCATTCCTCGTCCCACCAAACCTGTTTTTTTATTCTACCATTTGGCCTGCTCTCCGACGCGGAACCATTAACCGATGTTTTAGCGCCTCCACCCGCCTTGAGAATCGCACTATCCAAAGCCTCCAAAAACTGAGAGCATCTGACATCCACATTATTTTGATTCCATTGTTCATTCTCCCATAAAGGCCCGAGACGACTAGCTTCCTCCCCCGTATAAACCCCAAACAGAGGCCAGTTAACCTTTTTCTCACAGTATTTCCTCGTGCCTTTCCCACCCGACACGTGAACCTGCTGAAAGCCCATCTGCAGGCGAAGAAGAATAACCTGGTGGTCCGAACCCATTGTCTCGTGCTCCTGTTCAATCGCCCCTATGTTCATTATCTCTTGTGAACCAATGACCAGATCAAGATTGGAAGGAGGATGACCCCCGTACCCTATCCTCCAGAGCGTAAACCTATTCAGAACAAAATAGTTCCATTCCCTCGCCACTTCTTCCAACAACCGACCCTCCCTGCTATCCACACTGCAATTCCACAACCGGCTCCTAGCGTTAAAATCTCCCATGATGACCGTGGCAACCCCATCTCTACAGTTAAATTCAAAAAGCTCGGACCAATCCTGTCTAGTCCAGGGCATGCCAGGCCTTCTGTAAACCACCAACACGTCCAAATCCCCAGAAACTAATTTCACCGTTATCCCCAACACCTGTCTAGCCTAACCATTCCAACAAACTTTCTCCCTAACCTTGTAACTGATATTTTGTTGTATAAGCACAGCAACCCCCCCTCCCCCCTGTCTATCCTCATTTAGATCCCTTCTAACAACACTATAACCCGGAATATTAAAGGTATCCTGCGGTTTCAGCCATGTCTCAGAAATCCCGAAGATATGAAATTTCCCAATACACTCTTTAATTTCAGCAATCTTTCCTTTCACACTTCTAGCATTCCAAACACCCATTAACATGTTTTCAGCCATTGTAAATTATTTAAAAATTATACCCAAGAGGCATCAAAAGCCCCTGTTCTCGCAGGACTCGTCTCTCATAGGATCCCATAAATCACATCGCAGGGAAGCAGAACAGTGAAACGCATAAACCTATAAAATAATATAACTTCAGTATATTCGTTAAAAAAATACAAAACAGGAACCGCTAAACATAACCACCACCTAGCGGGTAACAGGACAAAAAACGACAGGTAAGTACTTCTACTCTCTTTTCTCTTATATTTAGTGACCGAAATCCACACAGAAAAAAGTAAATCATCTTTCATAAACCGGTATTTCGAAAAAACTTCTATCTCCACCGCACGCCGTACAAAACTTAAATTACAAATTTGAAACTGCCTTAAAAAAATTCCGCAAGAAAACGAGAACACGCAAAGATTATACGATAATCGAAATAATCGAAAAAAAGAAAAGGTTAAACGAAAAATAAAAAACTTAACAAAAAAATACTGAATCTTGACAATTTTTAACAGTACACCCACCACCCTCGTGACAGAGAGCAACAACACACAGAAGAAAACAGGAGAGTTATTACCCGCTTCTCCTAAAAAGGCGAGAAGTCGCCTGGAATTCCAAGCTCTAATGTCGTGACTCCGCTCGCAGCCCGGACCATATCTCCGGGTCCCTTTCCGCTGGATCAAAATACAAAATTCCACACCAATTCCATATCTGAAAACCTTAAAGAAAAGTACAACAATAGACAGTTCAACCAACCATCGTTCCCGCGCGTAATTCCATGAACTCAAGCCATAACAAAAAACCTTAAAAAAGAACGTGAAAATACAAAAAAACCAAACCGAATACACTCATTCTTCGCACACATTTCCAAGTTCTCAAACCATAAATAAAACCAGCACTGGAGACAACCAGACGCTGAAACACGCAAGACCTAAGCCCCATTATCCGGAAAAGGATTTTGGTTGAACACATGGCCGAACTGGCCCTTCTTCATTTCCGTAATCCTTCTTCTGCTTCTTTCCTCTTCCCTTTCTGCCTCCTGTGCTTCTAGTTCCCTCTCTCTACTGGCGAAGGAGGGCCCCGGGAGGCAGGCTTCCCACTCCTCCTGCTGGCGCTTCTTTTCGTTCCCAAAAGCCTCTGATTACCGTGTTTCCCAAATTCTGAGCTATTATGAAATTTGAAACACCAGAAGTTTTGCACGTGGCTAAAAAGTAATCGAGGCATTCGAATCTCGACGTAAGCGAAACGACAAGGATGGCATTCGACGAGCCTGGAGTCCGAGTGCAATGGGGCTAAACAAGGACAGAAGTTACAGTGCGAGAGAGAGGCTCTTATGCAGCTTCCGGTTCGGTATGGAATCACGGTCTGCTTTCGCAGTTTCGTACACCATCCTATAGGGCGGAGGGAGCCACCTTCGCCGTCCGAGGCTCGACGCAATTAATTATTTCGACAAGCGAGTTTTTAATGGTGCTGGTTATATATTTTACTCGTTGAGGAATGAACCGCCTCACTCCTCCGATTAAATATAAAGGTATATCTCATGCGAACGAGGCATAATGGCTGCCCGCTCGCGCGTGACCGAGTGGTAGGGGCACCTTCCCCTTTAGTGCTTTTTCACTAGACGAAAGGACACTATTGTGAATGCATGTGCACAGCCGACTCTAGTACTAGCCATGCTGAACAACGTGGCAACACCGCTCACGTGACAACCGGGAGTCCTATTTTCAAAAACAGAGTCCTGTGCTCGGAATTGTAATTAACGTCTTTTTTAATTAAAAGCTGTAGTAATATACACTATTTTGTGTTAATTATGTATAAACAATATATAAACATTGCAACTATGGCAAATAGAAGTGATGCGGTAGTATAAAATTGTTATAAATGTGATATAAATTTTGTGTATACTGTCGAAGTAGTTTGGTGTTGTAAAGCATGATATTTGAAATATTTACAGTGGTTTCAAGAAAATTTAGGTATGAAGCAAAATGAAACCATCTTTGGATCAAATTGAAACATTTAGGAATTGATAAACATGTATATAAGTTAATAAAAACCTTGAAACAAGCGAAATTATTGGAACGAAACCAAAGAGGTTATGTGAAGTCCAGAGAGTAGTCGGGAGTCTGACGACGTTGATTGGCTGAGAGTCTGGGAGTCCGGGAGGCAGATAAAGTAGGGTAGGTGTTGATATATTCAGACCGGACTCTCGCGGTGTTGCCATTTTTACTTCAGCACGGCTAGTACTAGAGTCGGCTGTGCTGTGGCATGTGGCCTGGTTAGTTGGACAGAACGCGCATACGTAGAAGGCAGAGACTGATATTATCGACCGCCAGCGGTCATAGTATACAAATTCAAGACCGAACGACAAAGCATATCTAAATACAGTGTCCAGTCTTTATAGATCTGTAGTCACTGCACAGTGTCACGAAAGTTTGTCGGATGAGTGACAGAAGTTTCTTTCCTTAGAGTACTTCTTCTCCGAGTTCTCAGTAATAAGTTTAAGAAAAAAAAAAACAATGATATTGCGACGTACATCCCTTATATTTGGAACTGCTGGTAATTTGTTAAAAGTGAACGGACAAATGAAAATACACGTTCGATCAAGGATAACAACACCTTCAGGCGCCATTCTTCCAGAGCCAAAAAGGCCTCGTTTTAGTTTTTTGGGTGTCATTTGCAGCGTCACGATAGGATTAGTTACCGGAGCTACTATGAGTAAAATAATTGCCAATTTTTTGGAGGAGAAAGAACTCTTTGTACCGTCAGACGATGACGACGATGACGATTAACCATGTAATCAAACGGTACAACGTTTTGTTTTACATGTGTAATATAGATGACCTTGTTAAAGATCTATTTTTTATATTTCATGCTTCGGTCATTGTTAATTTCCAAATTTTTTTTTAGACTATACTGCGCGTAAAACATCGCTACCAAGTTTTTTAAAATTCTGCAATCTTACGCTTTTCATTCCATTCTTTTGAGAATAAATTAAACATGTGCAACGACATTATTTTCAAAATTGTATTAAGATTAAAATGAAAAAGCCAACAGTATACTGTGTAATAAACTTTTCTGATGGAAGAAACAAACAAGTTAAGTACATGTAAAAATGTATCTGCAAATTCGTTTATCAAATTATCCAGAATAAATGTACATATATAGATGTATGTGACAAGTGTAACATGTTATGTAAATAACTCCACTGAATTCACAGATAAATTAGAAATATTACTGATGTTACTCAAGCAGTATTATTCCTTTCTTTTCACCAAAAATGATCGGTTCTTTGTGCAAAAAAAAAAGAGAAAATAAGAATAAGAAATTGTGCATCAATATGACGGTAGTAGCATCGTAATACTGTTATTCGTAAATACGTAATAAACTCGTATTACAAATAATCCTGTATAAATTTTTTGCATCCTCATCTTTGGAGCTTGTCAAAAAGCAATATAGGAATATTACAAATGAATTTCCATCAAACATCTTATTAAGGCGACCTTTTATGCGAACTCCAACCGTGAAAACATTTAGTGAATCTTCGGGATTCTTTTCCTTTCGCAGTTAAAAATAGTTTTCGTGGTTTGTCAGGTTGCTTTACTCGCAAGTGTTGAATGTATACCTAGAAAAAAAGAAAAAAAAAAATGAATAACATTTATCCGTACTTTCGATTTTATACTTTGTACTACGTACATAGCCTTATTTGAAAAACAATAAATCACATAATCGGTTGGATGATTTTACCTGAGCAGACTTATAAGCCAATTTAATTTCCACTTCCGAACAACGGCTTCCTAGCCATAAAAATACTTGTTCACCATTATCAAGTATCATAATATCATCATCTGCTAAATCATCCTAAAACAACATCGGGATTTATACTTATCTTTATCTGCAAACATTCATTATACATTATTCAAAATATATGATACATAATAAATTTATTTAATACTTGACAAAAATCGGCGCATTTTTCGCTGATAGTAAAATATCCTTTCTCGTTCGAACATCTAAATAATCTAGTGTAATTCATGTATTCCGCATCGGTATCATATGGTTTTTTCCCACCAAGAGCTACCCAGAAGAAGTTATCTGGTTCTTCACCTTCATTCAAAACTTGCAAACTAATCCATGGCTGTTGATCGATCAACAAGACGAATACAATCAATTTTATGCCAAAGATCGTAGAAAGCGTTACCGTTGAAAGTAGTATTTGCGATACCTACGTTATTGAACATTTCTTCGGCAATTTCTTCGATTAAACGAGCTTCATCGCTGTTCGCTTTAGAACCAATCCAAGCGTACACTATTCCAGTTTGGTCGTCGTTGTTAAACGGCACGTTTAAAATATAACTGTAAAGTAAAGCAACGGAATAACCGTAGATAGGATTCAGTACACTAAGCTCAAGGTGAAAAAACAATTTTGGCAAAAGTTAACGTTATCGTTAATTATCTGATCTTAACGATCTTACCAGAACGAAGAGTTTAATAATGAAGAATCAGCTGGTATTTGTATCAGCCTAGTACACAACGCACTTCCATTACTCCTTAAGTGATAAAATTCAACCTTATTATTACCAGACGACTTAGGCTGTTTACGCTTGCCATGATGAATAATAAATTTTCTTTTAAAGTATGCCAAAAACTTTAAATTTTCTTGTTGTTGATGAGTTCTAACCACTTCCAAATTCTCACCAAATAACGATTTAAATTTTTTCTGTAAACTAAAAGCGCATTTCTGTTAATATTAATAATATCATACACGTAACTGCCATTGTTTCCGTAGAGGATCGTAATCGCAAAAAAAAACTGAAATTTTCAAACACCCAAAAGCCTCTTCTTTTTTTACCTACCTAAATGTAAACGTTAACCATCCCATGTTTCCTGCGTCTCTGCCTTGCCAGAAATATACTGTACACTGATAATCTTCCTCGAACTGCTCGTCACCGTCTTCGTTCTCCGTAGTATCGAGTGGCTAATAACGTTAGGAATAAAACTGCATTAACGATTACGAGATGCAATAAAAGCAAAAACAAAATCGTTACGTACCATCCAGTAACGGCATAAAAATACGTAACAATCACCACTATAAAAATGGCCTAATTCATCTTCCGGTAAACGTACGAATTTCTTCCCTTCTAAAACCAACGCTTCCATTCCTTCTAAATCGTCGTTCCATTCGGACATGAGTTGTTGCGCCTCAGCGAACGACATCGACGGCTGTCTAGGCATGAAAAGTGCAGCCAGATCTGCCTATCGTTGAAAGAAAATTCATTGATTCTTTGGCAATGTAAAGCAATCTTTTATTTATTTTTTTCGCGTAGGTATACCTTCGTTTCCTGCTGTTTGGCCCATTTCGTAAGATCTGCGCCAGTTTTAGCAACCGATTCGGCAGTTCTAGTAAAATCGACAGCTATAACTTCGTCCCAACCGGTAAATTTAGACTTGAAAATCTAATCAGGGAAGACAATAACAACTGTCATTATAGAGGATGTTAAAAAATTACCCGAAGAGTTCTACACCGTTCAATAAATCATGAAAAATCGAAGCGAAAAATTCTGTAGCATTCTTCTATGGGATCAGTAGTTTAGCCATATTTCGAAAATTGAAACATTGACCAAGTTTCCACCGAAGCATTAATTCGTACCTAGTGCGGCGTAGAACCAAATTTAAGTCGATGGAAACGTGACCGACTACGCGCAGTTCACTCCTGTTTCGATCCACAAGCTTTGACGGAGTGGTAGCGATTTCATACAAAATGTAGTCGGTGGAAACGGTTGAAACAGATTCAAAATAGATAGTGCCAACCTTTACTTTTTATTATTCAGTTACCAAAATGGAAAATAAACGTGATATATGATCATATGATGAAACTTTCACATTAATTAATACTAGTGGAACGCCCTGTGCTATGCACGGGGAATTAAACAGTTAAAATATAAATTTGTCTTTGCCCACTATCCACCCCAAGCTCCAATTCCATGATATTAAACCAAATAAAACTTTTAATTAAAAACTTCGTTGTAAACTACATTGTGTTGTAAAAATGCATCAATTTGATTTGTTGGAAAATTTGTTGCGCAGGATCCGCTATTATCTTATGGAAACTTTCACCCCTGCGCAGTAGTAAACCGTAAGAGATAGACATGCGCAGTAGATTTTTTACAAAGAGGCTTAACCCAGAAAAGTTAAATGGACCACGTTAAATGGACCACTCTTAATGATGACGTAATTAGTTTTTATGTATCCCTTAAAAAGTGTCCCTTAATAAGGGTTTTACTGTACTATCATTGTACGAGTACACATAGAATATTTTTCTGCCTTGTTTTCGAGCATGCGTACAACGTCTCAGCGTAACTCACGGACATGTTTCTGCGTTATAATATGATTTTAAAAGAGAAGGAAATTTTGAAGATCATGGACAACAAGAGATTTTGCATCGCTTGTGAGTTTGTGTACATTTAGTAAACAAAAGTTAACTTGGCGCTACTGAAATATCAATCTCCCTCACTTCTACTCTACTTCCAGTGGAAACAGTACATTAAATTCGATGCGCATCGGAGCAGGATCGGATGTAATCCTTCGGTGGGAACTTGGTCATTGACCAATCAGCGCGCAGATTGAATGGCAAGACCTACTCCTACGGAGTAGGAGACTAGCCTCCTCTGACGACGCCGAGCCGCGCTGAGAGTCGAGGTGCGACGGCAGAGCAAGCAAATGGAGACTCCGCTTCCGTGTAGTCCCCTACTCCGCGCGTCTTGCCACTCAAACTGGGCGCTGATTAGTCAATTTTTCAATTTTCAACAACAAAATGTGGCTAAACTATTGATCCCATCGAAAAATGCTACAAAAATTTTCGCTTCGATTTTCCGTGAACGATGTAGAGCTCTTTAGGTAATTTTTTAACACCCTGTATATCCTATACTACGCCAAACATGTACAATACATATAATATTGTTTTACACCTTATGTAATATGGCCAAGTGGCATGTTATTCGAATCCTTAGTACTTCGTGAATATCGATTTAAAATTGAAACTAATACCTGAGATTCGGTTCCTTCTTGTAATCTTGTTACCATAGCGTATTCCGGCCGTGCTATCATGTTAAACAATTCTTGGGAAAGCTTAACAGCAGCAGCTCGTACCAATCTCGTTGACTTTTTTCCAAACCTACGAACAACAGTTCTCGATATTTACATTGTAATTAAACTTGATGTTACTTCCTAGGCAATTTCAAGAATACGAGCATGCCAGGCACTTACCAAACGTAGACATCCAAATGGCAATCCAATATATAAACGTTACGATTGTTCAACAATGTGTTCGTTAATTTTCCATGAGGTACTTCGACTTGTGGTAACTCTAAATAACCCATACCAAGTTGAACTTGATACAGACGTGGTGTAAACGGTATAAAATTCGGATCTACGTGTTCCTGTACAGGAAGAACCGTTTGTAACAATTCAAGGTGCAGACGGGTCTAATAAGTGCCAACTTACAGTGATTTGTGGTAGTTGCGAAATGTCTTTCACATTCAAATGCGACAGAAAATCGTCCGATTCGGAATTCATGATTTCCGTTAGAATTTCTGCTTTGTTCTTTCTTTCGTTTTTGTTTATTTTCTCAGCCATTAATCTTGCCTTTGATTTCAAGGTGCTCTTTGCTGTTTTACCGTACCATATGAAAATCTTATAACCAGAGTCCAGAACAAATACGAAACCCGGGTCCAAAGAGTCAAAACAGACTGGGACCGGTTCTAAATGAATCGAAGCACCGGCGGCGTGTACTCTATAAAGTCGCGTTATCGACGGCTGATGATGATCAGTCGAACGACGTTGAAAGTTAGCCCAAAGAACATGCAACGAAATACGAAAATAAATAAACACAATCCGATCGAATGCTAGAATCAGAACGTAAGTATTCGTTTCAAATTTTATACAAACCGTATCTTCAACTGTGTAAAAGCCGGATGAAGTACGACCACCTTCTATGTACGTGATACCAGACTCAAATAACATTAAAAATTCATCGGATTCCTCGCCTTGCTCTTCTCTGATAGTGCGACATTGCGCACCTAAATAATTACGTAAGTTTACAGCATGAATCGCAGCGCAGGCCCTTTTGTCCAACTACAATGATAAATCGAAAATCAGATATAGAGATTGTTAGAACGTTGTTCGTCACCGCAACCTCAACTCTGTTTACATTTCTTTCCATAACATTGTTGCAACTGAACGTAATTTCAACGATATTACACTGCTAATATCAATTTTGTAAACGCACCGTAGCTTTTTCTCCGATCCAGAAATAAATTGCCCACACCAAAGATCCAGCTTCGTCGATCTCCGTCTTCAAAACGATATAACAATCGCCTTCATAAAACTTGCCATGCGCGACCTCTTCTATCTCGTTAGGCAAGAAATTTTCAATTTCCCATACGGACAGTCCAGGTACCTGACCGGCATCTTCATCAAAAAACTCGGAATAATCTAACGGTGGTTTTTCCAAGGTTTCGTCCCATCGCTTCGGCCTATATGTATAGAAAAAAAAAGATGTATAATTTGTTTGTCACGAAACAAACATTGTTTCGAAAAAACTTTTAGCGTATACTCCTTTTGTGCTTACTTCAATGATTCCACTTTAGATTCTTCGCACTCTTTATCTTTGTTCTTCTCTTTTGCTATATCTTTCATACCCTAAGTAGAAAAAAGGACTTGAACGTGAATTTTCAGGTATCCCTTTCACTGTATATCACGGTCTAAAAGAAGAAGAAACGACGATATAAACGTACCTTTAATATCTTGGCTTGATCTTGGTCAGCTTCTTCCTGATCCCTTCTTCTTCTGAGTCTCATTTTACGGGCTATCGGATCTTTGCTATCTAACAGATGAACGATACGTGGAATATGAAAGTAAAAAAAATTGAAATATAGAAAGAAACGAATTGAGTTACAAATAGATTAAAAAACTTCCATCAGGTACGGACTTACTCGCCGTTTGCGTTGGCGTAGGAACATTTGCGCCGGCAAGTCGTAGTTGATGTTGCAGAGAAAAATCAATGTTATAGAATTCTATACCAGATCCTTTTTGAACCTCCGTCGGTTTCGGCGGCATTACCAAATTTGGGTTGTCTCTCAGGTCCAACTGTTCCAAATCGGTAAGGAGATGAATAGCATCCGGTACAGTGATCAATCGATTCGATGACAGTATCAATTTTTTCAACGAACCACATCTACAAAGCAAACATGCACTTTCTGACATCCTGAACAATAATTTAAAATTTCCACCGAAAAATCATACTTTGAGTTTAGCACGGATTCGATTGAAGTACTTTGAAAGGAGGATGATGGATGATGATGATGATGATGAGGAGGAGAAGGAGAAGAAGGAGGAGGAGGAGGAGGAGGAGGAGGAGGAGGAGGAGGAGAAGAAGAAGTATAAGAAGAAGAAGAAGAAGAACAAGAAGAACAAGAAGAACAAGAAGAACAAGAAGAACAAGAACAAGAACAAGAACAAGAACAAGAACAAGAACAAGAAGAACAAGAAGTACCTGCATAAGCCTTCTGGTATCATTTCCAGGTGATTATTAGCCGCGGAAAATACTTGCAACGACGATAGCTTGCCAATGCCCGAAGGAATACCTTCGAAATCCAGTTGATTGTCATTTAAGTAGAGCCTCCTTAAAGTAACAATTTTACACACGGAGGCAGGTATTGCTGTCAGTTTATTACGACAAATATTTAATATTTCCAACTTGGTCCAAAGTTCTAAAATAAAAACCGGTTAACATATTTGTTAGGTTTTTCATATAACTGTATAATAAAACTATGTACCAATTGCTGTAGATAGTTCAGTTATTTCGTTATCGCTTAAATTTAAACGGCGCAAATTTAGTAACGAATAAAGAGCGTCTGGTACTCGAGGTAAATTATTTTGTGATAGATCGAGTTCTTGGAGATTCGTCAACGTTTCTAAATTCGACGGAATATTGCTTAACGTCCGTTGAGTATCGCGCATTTGCAGGGTCGTTAGATTCATCAGGGACGGTAGTTGCCTAAATAATAGAGAAGAAATATTCCAAGTTCTTTGTACTTGATCTACATCGATCATTTTCTACCTTAACTGAAAGTGTCCCAACGGATTGTGATTTAAATTTAAACTCTGCAGATTGGCCAAACGACGAGTCTGTGGTGGTAACGTTTCCAATTTATTATTACTAAGATCCAGGAATAACAAATCAGTTAGATGAATGAACAGCGTGTTCGGGATTGTATCAATACTAAGAAGAAGAAAAAGGTATAAAGGCAAAATGCTTGTTAATTATATAATTGATTATCGTCGAGCGTTAACTACATACGTCATACTCACTGATTATGACTTAAATTAAGATTTAGCAAGGAGCGAGCTCGCTCGAGTCCTTCTGGTACTTCTTTCAAATTATTGTGACTCAAATCCAACGTAGTCAATTCCTCTAAATGAAACAATTCTGCTGGTATGCCACTTGACTTGATATTGTTGCGTCTAATATTCAATGTTCTAAGACAACCAAGCTCCGTCAATTCTCCATACAAGCGTTCCAGCTTATTTTTAACCAATGAAAGGTGTTCCTATCCGAAAAACCGATACATTTAACTTGTATTGCATGTATCATTATGGGTAGTAGCATTTATGTCGATTATATTAGTTCTGTCTTTAATTCTTCAACATTTAAACAATAAATTACCAATTTTAATAGTTTACCCATTTCTTCTGGGATTTCTGTTAAGTTGGTTTCGTTTAATTTCAGCCATTGTATACCAGTCATAAGATGTACTGATTCTGGAAATTTTCCATTCTGCAAAATATAGAAGGGCTTAACAACATTTATGAAATAAAGCAAAACGTATCTTGAAACTTACTACATTGTACTTACACCAAAATCATTGCTGCTAAAATCAATACCACGCACAAATGGTAATACCCCAGTGTTTGCCATTTTATAAGATATTCAAGTAAACTACTGTATATTTATATGAAAATATACACGTTCTATTTCAAAATTACAAAATCATCTGTAAAAGATTAATACCATTATTATTCGTAAACATTATTCCGTATATAAATGGATTTTTTCCACTAAATCGCACATGCCGCAAAAATAAATTATATCAGAAAACAAATGAGAAGTTCAAAATCAATTAAGCTGCCCATTGTTCGTTAGGATAAATTATTATATCACTTCTATTAAGAATTAAAAACGACTGAATGATATCAAAATATATATTAATAATAATCGCATAACCTTTACTATTAAGATATTACAAACATAATTTATAGAATCATAATACATTATCATTAAAAATTCTTCGAAGTATGGAAATCTCTATCAAAAATGAACAAGGTACTGTACTTATGTACAAATTATTTATTATGAATACCTCATATCTGGATCTATACAATTACAATCTACAGATATATACATACACATAATATACTAATTATAATGAAAACATAAGAAAAAAACGATTAGGTTATCGATACCGATTACCTATGGGCAAAGAGGAGGTATAACAAAAGGCGACACTCCAGGCGGCACCTTTGATCAACGAGCGGGAAGTTTGAATGAATTGGATGTAATACTTTCTTTTCATAACAATCTTTTATAACTAGAAACCTTTTTGCATCGTCAATTTTTCTGTATATTATTAATCGAAGTATTTACATTAATTTTACATAATTGAAAAGTGGGAAAGTAAGAAATATAATAAAATGATAATATTAGAAAATATATTTGAACATAAATTACACAATTATACAATAGGATGAGGGAAGGTTTCGGATAATATATTTGAAGACATTACAATATTTACAAATTTAATACAATATGAAGTCCTCTATCTTTTTTAACGCAAGTTTTAAAATCCCTATTACTACATTTAAGTGTATAATCAATTTTTAATCTAATAAATAACTTTAATAAATATTCTAAAGGAAAATTGTTACAAGGATGAATAAAATCAGTTACATTTCTACATAAATGATACATATTTTTACCTTCACGGGTGCGAAGTAAAACAGAATTCCTGGTTTGTGACGGTCTGAAATACCATAAACTCTTGCTTTTTGGAGCATTTTGACAAAGAAGTTTCCTAGTACTAGCCATGCTGAACAACGTGGCAACACCGCTCACGTGACAATCGGGAGTTCTATTTTCAAAAACAGAGTCCTGTGCTCGGAATTGTAATTAACGTCTTTTTTAATTAAAAGCTGTAGTAATATACACTATTTTGTGTTAATTATGTATAAACAATATATAAACGTTGCAACTATGGCAAATAGAAGTGATGTGGCAGTATAAAATTGTTATAAATGTGATATATATTTTGTGTACTCTCAAAGTAGTTTGGTGTTGTGAAGCATGATATTTGAAATATTTACAGTGGTTTCAAGAAAATTTAGGTATGAAGCAAAATGAAACCATCTTTGGATCAAATTGAAACATTTAAGAATTGATAAACGTGTATATAAGTTAATAAAAACCTTGAAACAAGCGAAATTATTGGAACGAAACCAAAGAGGTTATGTGAAGTCCAGAGAGTAGTCGGGAGTCTGACGACGTTGATTGGCTGAGAGTCTGGGAGTCCGGGAGGCAGATAGAGTAGGGTAGGTGTTGATATGTTCAGACCGGACTCTCGCGGTGTTGCCATTTTTACTTCAACACGGCTAGTACTAGAGATGGCTGTGTCTGAATATATCATGTTGCGTGTGGATTTAATGTTCTAGGGATTTTCTTTATAATATGCCGAACGTGGGTAAGGTGCCCGTGGAGCGCTGAAGTGCTCTGCTCGCGGCGCGACTTTTAATAAATGAAAACACCTTGCGTTTTAAAAGATATTTTTTGATAATAACTTTATTTCCTTTTCAAAATTTATATCTAGACGGGTTGGAGCTTTGAATCGTTCTGAGCTTGGCGGTGAAGATCTTGAAGATGTTGAACGATTTACAATGTCCTATCTTTTGTTTGTTTATTACTTTTGAATTTTGGCTCCTAATTTATGAGCATTGATATAACATAATGCAGACATGCTGCAATCATACTCTTATGGCATCGTCGCCATATTACATTTCATTCAATGCTTGTGATTACAAGCTTGCAGCTAAATTCACACGATATTGCACACATACATACAGGCGAGGTTCGCAACAATCAACACCTACCCTACTCTATGGCTGGTATTCACAGTTGCAACTTATTTCTAAGCTGGGCTAGCTTAAGCATTTGCTTAGAAAAGTAAATGCTTATCGGTGTAGATTCACAGTCGATGCTTAAGAAAGTCTTAAGCTCTTATGAATTCATAGTCGAATAAGTCCGCCTTATTTGTAAAAAACGAGTTCTTATTTGGCTTCATTGAGGTTATGTTTTTAAGTCGACGATATTGAGGACTTAAGCACGCGTTTGAAGGTGTTATTGTGCAGTGATGGGACTGGAGGGAATAGGTTAGGGTACACGTATACGGTAAAAGAGATTAAAATTACCGATCCCTCCTGCGATGCAGCTGTTAATTTGTTTGCGGTATTATGCTACTGCAAGTTTTCAAGTAAGTCATATAAATATATCACTACTCCTAAAAGAAGTAGAAAAAAATAAAGATTATCTATATATGTACTGTAATTGTAGCTTATTCTGGGAGACAATGAATGTTTCTCAGCCCACAGTCTCCCGCATAGTATTTAGGGTGAGTTCACTAATAGGCAGTCTGATGACGGACTATATCAAGTTTCCCAGGGATCCGGACAATTCCACTAAAAATCGCAGGTTATTGAATAATTTGGGACAAGGAAACGGAGCTATTAGTTTACCAGGTGTGGACTTTATATCATTATAACTTTTTCTATATACACATATACATACATACATACATATACAATGTAATTGATTTACCAGGTGTGGATGGTGCTATTGATTGCACCCACATTAGATTAACAGCATCCAGGTTCAACAACATGGAAGAAATGTACAGAAATAGAAAAGGATATTTTTCATTGAATGTTCAGGTATGTCATTAAGTTATTTATTTTACCCAATATTCATTGAAATGAACCATATTAATATTTTACTCGACTGATTGATGCATAAATTAACATTAAATTATTCGATCGACACAGGTACAATGAAATCCAGATCAGGACCCGACAGATAGTAGAAAGAACGTTCGGTGTTTGGAAGCGCCGTTTTCCATGTCTTACAAGGGGTTTAACAACGAAGTTCTTATGTTCAACAACAACGGTAGTTGCATGTGCTGTGTTGCATGCTTTAGCCCTAATTTTCAATGACATTCTTGTAGAAGAAGATGAAATTGAAAACCAAAATGAAGATGGAGAAGAATTATTAGGAAACGTGGAAAATGTTAATGGCATTGATGGATTTGCTACACGTGAAGCACTCATTGCTTGTACGTTTCATTGAGTAATTGTGTCAAATGAAATGTAATAAGGGGTTTTTTATGCCTATCGAGCCAATAAATAATCATTATTCTTTGGGCTCAAATTGGTTTAATTTATTGATTAAAATACCCTCATCCTCAGTCATATCACAACCTATACCTTGAACCCGTAATTTCAGTCGTAAGTTTAATTTTGTGTTATTTTGTGTTCGTATTTCAGAATGAAACTTTAAATATAAGAGATTTTTATAATGTATGTGATAACATTAATTATAAAATTGTTCTTAATAAGTTTGGCTCTGTCTATCGCTCGCTCAATTATTTGAATTCAATTCAAAAACTGCGTCACTAAGTAAGAATGCTACATTTTCAAGAATCATTTTCATTGGTTGTTACAGTAGAAAATCGACGGAATTAGCCGAACGTCAAATAAGCATTGCATAAGCATGGACTTCACTAAGCAAAGCTTAAACATCGCTTCCTTAACTAAATCGGTCTTATCCTCCGACTCTGAATACATAGCGACTTAAGCATTGCTTATTCGAATAAGACGATCTTAGTCTTAAGTTGCGACTCTGAATACGGCCCTATGAATGCCTATGATTGATATTGTACATAATATGGCGACAATGCCACCTATTACTACATGAAGCTAGCCGGAAGGAATAATAAAATACGATTATTTTTAATTTTTCTTAGTGTATTTCGTTTGTAAATCGTTTGTGATTGATTGTGAGTCTATTTTTAACGTTTGTTGCGTTTGTGATAAATTAGTTCTTTTGTAATTACCAATTTTATTTCAGTCATGATGTGAGCCGGAACTTTTTAGTAATTTTTTATAATAAACAGATAACTGATAACTGTTATTGATTGGTAATCGTTTGTGATTTACAAATATTTCATATTCGTTGTTTGTAAGTGAATAATTTCTTAATTATCTACAAGTCTGTTTTATAATAAATAATTGTAGTGCGCATGCGCAAAATATACTCAGGACTTTTGCCAACAGAGAGCGTATCGGTGCGTAATTTGTTGTATGGCTCGGATTAATAAGTTGAATGTAGTGGCTGAAGTGCGTCAAATTTTAATTGTAAAGGAAGAACAGTATTTTGTTATCAAGGACTCCTTATTATACAGCTCGATCAGTAGAAGAGAATCGGTTTTTCGTTATCAAATGTTAGTTATAGAGAGCGTTGCTATTGATGATTTACTTAGTGATCAGGAGCTGTATATAGAGGAACCTTGCGAAATCTTTGTCCTTTTGTCCTTTGTTCTTTGTAAAATGTTCAAAAGAAGTACACGTGTAAAACCATTTATTTTCAATTCAATTAATTGTTCTTGTTCCAAATCATTAAACTAAAGTTATTTGTTATTAAAAGTTCAGTTTATTTTAAATAGTTTAAAGTAGGTTTCTTTTTCTTTAATAAATCACGTGAGCAGAGTGCTTTAGCGCTCCACGGGCAACTTACCCATGTTCCTTGGACAAAAATCCCTAAGTTACGAAAAATCTCGCAACATACGCATAGCGGAAATTATTCCGAGTCGCAACTTAAGCAAGGATTTTTTATTTTTTTATTTACATGGCTTTTCTTGGGCGAAGCCCAAGATGGCGTTCTGCAGGAGGGTTTCCCTCCTATATTGCCCAACGAAAATCAGCGGCCTTTTTTTAAATTCTTCTCTAAATCCGCACATAGTTTAGTACGATTATATCAAATCATCCAGAGTTTTTTTTTCCATTATTCTCATTTCTTTTTACTTCTTTATACTCTTACATTTTCCATTCATATACATTTTTCTCTTTATTCATTTTATTCATATCGCTATCCGCTTATTTGTTGCCAACAGCACACGGTAACCCACCTTTTGGCGAAACCGTGCCCACTTAGCTTGACTTCGGTGATCTTACGGGTACCGGTGTGGTCTAAGTGGCTAAGGCCGTTGACTAAGCAAGGATTAAGACGTTGCGACTGTGAATACCGACCTTTTTCTATGTTTCATATTCTATAGGCAAAAGTTCTTTTAATTTTTTGAAGCAACTGTCATTGTGCTGAAGATCTTTTATAATAAAATAAGTTACCAAGCAAAAAGTATTTGAAGGAATTATGTAATAACAAAAATAACGCAAGATAAATATTAGACAAGTATTTATTAATTAAACGATATTGTATGTTTTAAAAAAAAAGTCAAAGTTAAGTGAACACGTTGGAAAGAGGTTGGATAATTAGTTACTAAAGGGAAGAGTTGTGCAGGTACAGTATTGCTTCGAATTAAGCAAGTGGTCTCTGCTTCGAAATAAGCAACTCGCTATCTCCTCTTCTTTGTTTGAAGTCGTCCGTAAAGTGAGAGGTACGAGAAATGAGTGAGAGGTCCATGAAAGCGCGAAGCCGATGTTTAGGGTAATAAATTTCACGCTCGACTGAGCAGTGACATCGGTTAGTAGAAGAAGGATGGAATATATATGTATAATGCTTTCTCAGTCTGGTATATTTGCTTCGAAATAAAGCATAGTGCGAGAATGAGAGGGCATGCTATATTCTATCCTTGTTCAAAAAATAACATCGCTGCTCGGCCGATCACTTTATGATTTGCCTCTACCTCGGATCTCTCACTCGTTTCTCGCGTTCTCTATCGTCCCGTTTCGAGAACAAAGTCAAGCCGAATAGCATACCTGCTTCGAAATAAGCAACTGTTCGGTCCCGAGCCACTTGCTTATTTCGAAGCAATACTGTAATTATAAAATCGTCTTAAAAGATAATTCTGTGATTGTTGTAAATTTATCTTTGTAAGTGGTCAAAATATACATTATTTATTATTGTATCTTTATCCTCCATTACTATTATCATCACAAATTTGAAATTTATTTTTGATATTAGTAAAAGAAAATAAACTTGCCGATTGTAAATATGTGTTAGGAGATAGAATACCCTGATACCTTTGGATATCATTTTCTGCAAAATGCAGACTACAAACTGCAGAATATTTTGTTGGTGTTTAATTTTTACAGGGAATAGCAGCCATCTATTTTTCTGCAATTGCTCATTTTGTTTCAGAGTACTACCATAATTTCCTTTACAGTTGGGTACACAACAACGCCGTGACATTATTAACTAATAAATATGTATGAAATTTGTGAAAAGAACTATGTAAAACAAATTTTCTAAAAACACTGTATTTATTATAATATAATTTCATAAAAATTGATATATGATACTATTAAAATGTTATTAGTACTAAATTGAAATATTGTATATTAAAAGAACAATAGGTTCTATTAAATAAATGTGCGGCAGAAGTTTAGTATGGTGACAACGCTTTGCAGAGGTATGACATATATAATTATGAAGAGTGAGTCGAGGGGAGTAAAAATCCGAAATAATTATTTTGAGGAAATGAACGGTTTGTGAGATATTTGCAAAAAACTGCTACTACTACTCCATTCGGATCTTACCTATTCGTGTACGTCCCTGGCAGTGGATGTGCTGGCGTGGTGCGACCGCTTATATACTGCTTTATTACTATATCTACATTGATCTACATTAGATATAATGTAATATACATTTAATAAAAATATCATTAGGGTTAGGTTTAGGGTTAGGGTTAGGGTTAGCTTAGCCCCCTGGGGGGTAAACTTTACTTTACCGGACCCAAAATTTTGGACCTTTTTTTTTTAAATCTATAGTTTTTGATGCGTAGAATCTGAAAATGCAAGTCTCAACTTTAGGAATTCAGTGGTTAAAAAGTTATAAGCGTGTAAAGTTTGACATTTTTAGCGGATTTGCTACGTTACTGTGACGCCATATTGCCTTAGATGTATAACCTGATTGGTCCTCGCATAGCGTAGAACTAAACTTCCGCTTACCTTAATTAAAAACATATTGTTTCCGAATCGCTTCCATCATTGATCCCATGAGGTCTATGTTGTTGTGACGGCAAAACCGTCGCCACAGATATTCGCATAAGCGATCGGCAAATTCCTCATCGTGAAAACGACCCCTCCCCCTCATCCAGTCCTTCGCCGGCCGCCAATTTGACTCTATTTGCTGGGTATGAGTCCCATCACTAGCTGTATTTAAATTATTCATAAAATTGAATTCTCTCTCTTTCTTTAAAAAAATATACACCTAACTAACTCAGACAGTATCAAATTTACCCGCCAAAGTAGTCGGCACCCACGTGAATCTGCCTACAGCTAGCGACACCGTTCATTGGACAAGAAGTCAATATGGCGTCACAGTAACGTAACAAATCCGCTAAAAATGTCAAACTTTACACGCTTATAACTTTTTAACCACTGAATTCCTAAAGTTGAGACTTGCATTTTTGGATTCTCCGCATCAAAAACTATAGATTCAAAAAAAAAAAGTCCAAAATTTTGGGTCCGGTAAAGTAAAGTTCACCCCATAATCGGTGATGATATGGTAAAGATACAAGATACAATTGAAATGAAATTGAAAGAAAGTGTAATGAAGGGAAGATGAATGAATAATGAAAAATTGTAAAATTTTCTGTCCACAGGGTATATATTCTCGGGTTTCCGACTGGTGTTGAGCGCGTGCACATTACCATAGATTATAAAGTATATATAACCGAAGCACAGTCATATGCGCAAAAACGAACGAAAACTCGTCATCTAGTAAGTATGGTCTCTAGTGAACTGCAATATATTTCTCATGTGAATGAGGTATAATGGCTGCGCGCTCGCGCGTGACCCGGTGGTAGGAGCACCTTCCCCTACAGTGTTTTTTTACTAGACGAACGGACACTATGACATATTTGCACGTGTTGCGTGTCCGTCGCGGAAGATAGCACAGCCGACTCTAGTACTAGCCGTGCTGAAGTAAAAATGGCAACACCGCGGGAGTCCGGTCTGAATATATCAATACCTACCCTACTCTATCTGTCTCCCGGACTCCCACACTCTCGGCCAATCAACGTCGTCAGACTCCCGACTACTCTCTGGACTTCACATAACCTCTTTGGTTTCGTTCCAATAATTTTGCTTGTTTCAAGGTTTTTATTAACTTATATACACGTTTATCAGTTCTTAAATGTTTCAATTTGATCCAAAGATGGTTTCATTTTGCTTCATACCTAAATTTTCTTGAAACCACTGTAAATATTTCAAATATCATGCTTCACAACACCAAACTACTTTGAGAGTACACAAAATATATATCACATTTATAATAATTTTATACTACCACATCACTTCTATTTGCCATAGTTGCAACGTTTATATATTGTTTATACATAATTAACACAAAATAGTGTATATTACTACAGCTTTTAATTAAAAAAGACGTTAATTTCAATTTCGAGCACAGGACTCTGTTTTTGAAAATCGTACTCCCGATTGTCACGTGAGCGGTGTTGCCACGTTGTTCAGCATGGCTAGTACTAGAGTCGGCTGTGAAGATAGGGATATTTGGGGATTTTATGTGCAGGTGTGACACTCCGTGGAGCGCGGAGGCGCTTCACTTTCAAGGCGCGGATATGCAAAATAATAAACTATTATTTTTGTTTTGAGTACTTTAATATTTTGGAATTCAATTTAAAACAGAACTTCGACTTTGTGTTAACAAGGCTGGGAACTTTTTGTGCGAGAACGACTTGTCCGTAACGAGTGACAAAATCATTCTAACGATTCTGCGCTTGGCGGAGGAGATCTTCGCGCGTTGTCGGTCGATGCCCCTTTCTTGGTGGATCCTGGATCCTCCCTCAGGATCATCCCTCGTCCAATGGTGGAGGAGTCCACCCCGTCTCGTGTGGGCCCCTTCTCCTGACTGTGGTCCACCCTCAGGCGCGTGGAAGTGGAGGCGTTCCGCCAAGATGCTAGAACGTTGCAGCGCACATGTGCTACGAGAAAGCGTGGGACCCAGAGAAATTAGGAAACGACAAGACCTTGTACTTGCCAAAGCAACTCTCGAGGAAATTTACGACCCTCTCAGAGTGTATGAATAGACAGGATATCGAAAAAGACTTCGTAGCTTTTAAGGACCGTTCGTGACTTGGTCGAAAACAACGAATTTCGAAGTGAACCTATTCCATTCTCTGGATTTCCGGCCTTCTCTCAGCTCGATCACCCACGTCGAGGGGTTTACAATTTACTCTTTGTCTATTTATATAAACGCACGCACAGACGATGTTCGAATTTCGCTCTTAATTTATGACCATCGATACAAAGGTCCTCGAAGAACATTCAAGACATATCGATACAATAGACTATCGATAAATATTCCCATGGCAGTGTCGCCACACCACTCTAAACATATTCACGTGATAGCATTTCACGTTACACACGTATTTGATAAGAGTGAATAAATTTTTATAGTTAGCTAGGGATTTTTAAGCATCGGGTGACATGCGCAAACGTTAAGCGATGAGCAAAGAAGAGTGGACCAGCAAGGGGAGATTTGTGTCGCGTTTTATCTATTATCTTGGATCGGCGTGAATCGCCATATATTTATCTCGAAAAACAACCAGTCGACAAGGGTCGATGTTAAAATTTCGTTTTTAAAAATTAAATAAACCGAACAGCGTTTATAAATATTTCTTTTTGTTCGTTTGTTAGCGTCAATTGTTTTCGTACATGGCTTCAGTCGAGGAAGTGGATCAATTAGATAGCGGCATGGGTAGTAGCGATGCACGTTCTCCCGAAGTAAAATCACTTCTTCCCGATGATGAAGATGACGAAGAGGTATTTGATTTTAACGCATAAATATGTAGAAATGATATTTTTTGTAGCGAGCTTTCCGTCGTTCCAAGTTAATAATTTTAATGATCATAGTAATAATTAACCTCCATGAGTTAACCAAACTTTGTTAATGAAAAAAAATTGTATTTCGTGTATTACCGTGTTACTTACGATGCGTTATTGGTTTACAAATTTTATCTATATTTTAGGTAGTAATTTATTTTCCCGAAACGTTAAATGATATCGTTTACTTATTTTACTTTCAGGATGAAAGCGTGGCGGAACGACTGTTGGGTCTTACAGAAATGTTTCCAGAAGAAGTACGTAATTTTGGATATAACGTTGGTACTTGTTTGTGCAATTGCATGAAAGGTCAGTAGTAGTTGTCCTTGTATGTTTTCAACAGTAATTCTATTGCATATTATAAACACATATATGTATATACAGAGCCATTAATCTTCTTTTTCAGGATTGTATGCATTTTCCTGTTCAGCAGCATGGTTGTTCTTCAGTTCGTCAGCTATTTTATTTGCACCAATATTGTTTGAAATAGAACGGGTGCAACTAGAAGAAGCACTACGCACCCAACAAAAACAAGTTTTGTTAGGACCTAGCAAAGCTATGTCAAACGTCAACGCTTCGAGTCTTCCAATGGCTCCACCAGTTCAGCGATAATAACAATATTAAAGCTGCATTTCAATAACTATGAGTGAACCATCCCTGTTCACGATTTATATTTATTAGCATAATTCCACCGTGTTGTAATCTTTCATCAATTCTTGTATACATATGTAGGCTATTAAATGTCATGTGTTAGAAAACCGAAATGAAATGCAAAATTCAAGCAGACTTAGGTTTCAAGAAATAACTGTTATACCACACGTTGAAGTGTTAATTCATTTATGGGAATTATTATTTTATTCGTTGCGGAATAGTAGTGAAACGTTTTAGTACTTGAATACATATCATTTGCTCTCACTAAACATAAAATCCTTTTGTTGTGTTTGTAATAATGTGCAAAAAGCAGTATATTATTGTAATATACCAAATTGAATTGATATTTAATTTGTAATTATTGTCCATTCCTTGGTATTTTATACAGACACAGTCCATAGAAAGATATGTAAAAGAGTGATATAAATTAGCTACGGGAACGACTCTATGAAAGGATGCAAAACCATTGACAATTACATTATTTCTATAGCATTTAGTTGGGCTTCTTTAAGACATGGTCATTTGGTTTCATAGGCTGCCTTGGGCATGATGGTCATTCTGGTGTCATGTGCGATTTCTACCTTTTGACATAAGAAAAAAAACAAATCAACTATATAACACGCGGACGAAATTAACAGTTAATGATTATACATGTATACCAAATTAAAACATTGCTCTAATAATAAATAACAGAAGACGAATTCGTTTAATTTACACAGATTTTAATTCGGTAACGAATATGTTGAAGGAAAAGAAGGTATAAAAGCAGGGTAAACCAAAATTAGAGATCGTCCAACAAACTTTATTTTAAGTTATTATATTTTTAGGAAAAACATGATACAACGAAAAAAGTGATTATTACCCAGGAGTTTACTGTCATTGTTATGATTTTATTAGTTGAGGTATGATATAGTTATGTAATTATTGTTAAGAAACCCAAACAACTGATACTTTGCACACTCTTCAACGCTAACAATCTCTTATTTTTCAATTACGCAGCTACCTGCTCATGCTTTCCGTTCTCACACCACACCGGGACTAAAGAGTAGGTATAACCAGTGATGCCAGAATCGTGGGACGTGGGACAAATTTTTACCCTCTCCACGACGCATAGTGGGACAAAACGGCTTTCGGCGATCAAAATTCTGTAACTTCGGTTCTATTGGAAATATTTTAATGAAATTTTGGGAAGTTTTTGCCTACATTATGGTACTTAGGCTGTATCAATATAAATCATATTGAACTACAGGGTGTCAAGATATTCACGTATAAACTGTAGTGCGTTCAATATCCTTCACTTGTTAGACATATTTTATGTTATTTAACAAAAATTTGACTCAAAACTGTTAATAACTATAAGAGAAATGGATATAATAATTAAAAAATGACAGACATGTGTTATCATAATATATTTATTTATATTTCTTATGATCTATACCAAATCATTCAAGAAAACAGTTTTGACAATTATGAAAATTTGTTATGGCATATTGCAAGGACGTACAATGTGGAAATTGTTGACAGGACACCGATCCGACATTATTTCAGACTCTTCAAAGAAAGGTGGAAAAGTGCTTATAGGATGGTAGCAAGATTCGAAGAGCGGAACAGTTGTGACTTACGAGGGAAACTACCCAAGTGTTACACTCACTTATTAATGAAACTTTGCCACCTTGTAGAGCTCGTCGCCCTGAACACGTCTATACCCCCTTTTGGGGGCAGACGGCTAATTATTTAAAAGATATTAACAATTAAAGTTAGTTACTCCGTACATTGAGAAGCATGACAAACTAACATATATAAATGCTTAGCTCCGCGGTAAAACGCTAGACTCGCAATCTAACTGTCCACGGTTCAAATCCATGGTTCCCCCCAACTTTTTTTTTCTTTTTTCTTCTTTCTTTTTAATGATAATCTGTCTCTTTTTGAATAACTATTACAACTGTGCTATAATCATTGCATTTATTAATAGGTAATTAATTACATGTGCTGAAATTTTTATAAAATTTAAGTTATCTTTTCTATTCAATACGTACATTAACACCCTTACCGCATTCAGAATTTACACGCGTTTATTTGTTATTATTTGTTTTTACAAGTTCAATTTATTTAATTATATTTATTTAGTTACATTCATTTATACTACTGTGCAAATTTATAATTTATAGTTACAACATTAGAAGAAGACGCAGAAGACATTAGTGAAGAATCCAAAACAATAGGACAGAAATTATATTCGTATTTTATGGAAATTAATTGTGTGTGTATAATAACAAATAAACGCTAGTAAATTTTGAATGCGGTAAGGGTGTTAATGTACGTATTGGATAGAAAAGATAACTTAAATTCTATAAAAATTTCAGCACATGTAATTAATTACCTATTAATAAATGCAATGATTATAGCACAGTTGTAATAGTTATTCAAAAAGAGACAAATTATCATTAAAAAGAAAAAAGAAAAAAAAAGTTCGGAACCATGGACTTGAACCGTGGACAGTTAGATTGTGAGTCAAGCGTTTTACCGCGGAGCTAAGCATTTATATGTGATACTGTTAGGGAGTAATCTTCCTTAGTTGGTAGATCTAGGTATTTAGATTATAAGGTGTTCCATAGGTTGGTAACTCAGATATATATGATTTTGATAGATACGTTTTTGTTAAAAATGAATATACCGCGCAAAAAGAAGCTTTGTGTTCTTAGGATTGCAAATCCAAATGAATCGCGTGTCATATAAAAAGAATGTTTATTTTTTGTTAAAATACATCAAGTTAGAAAACAATAAAGTATTATTTTGTGTTTATGAAAACGAACTGTAATAGCTTAATCTATATCAAGGTCCACGTGTTCCCAACAGTTAGTTTGTCATGCTTCTCAATGTAAGCAGTAACTAACTTTAATTGTTAATATCTTTTAAACAATTAGCCGTCTGCCCCCAAAAGGGGGTATAGGCGTGTTCAGGGCGAGGAGCTTTACAAGGTGGCAAAGTTTCATTAATAAGTGAGTGTGACACTTGGGTAGTTCCCCTCGTTAGTTTTATATTAGATAATCGATCATCATGAGTCGTGTTAAGTTCATTGCCCAAAAGCGAATAACGCTCAAGGCAAAATTAACATCATGGCAAAATGCCCATGCACAGGGTCGTATCGATAGCGCAGGGTTTAAGTTGCGATTTGATAGACTGACGGAAATGTTTCGAGCTTATGAGGAGTTACATGACGAATTGGCGATACTCGAACCGGACAATGAAATATTGAATGATACGGAAGAAATTAGCGATAGATACTACGAAGTTGCGCGGCTCATGGTCAGTATGAACGAGGCAGGACCGTCGACATCGCAAGTCGGGAGCACGAATCTTGCAAGTTCCACAATGATTGAAAGGCAACGTCGCGCTAAGCTACCAGTCAGAAATTCCCAAATTCGACGGTGACATACAAACTTGGCTTTCGTACAGAAATTCATTTCTATCGATGATTGATGCTCGGCCGGATATCTCCGACTTAGAAAAATTCATCTATCTAAGAGACTCGTTGAAAGGCGAAGCATTTAACAAAATTTCCGTGCTAGACGTAAGCGCAGACAATTACAAACTCGCGTGGGACCTGCTTAAAGGGAGCTATGAAAGAAAACGTGTAATAGTCCGCAAACATTTCGATGCTATTCTTGACCTTCCAAAACAGTCTAAACCCACATACAAGGGTCTATCAAAACTTATAGACGATATACGGCAACACATAAGCGTATTAAAAACATTAGAGGTTCAAGTTGATGAAAATTTGATCGTTCGTATAATAGAGAGAGCGTTACCGAGTGAAACGCGTGACAAGTGGGAGGATACTTTTAATTCCGCAGATACAATGCCTACGCTCGATCAGGTTTTCAAATTTATTTCAGATACCGCGTTCAAAATTCTCGCGCATGAACAAGAGCAGGTACCGAAAAAGACCGAACCCAATTTCAAGCGCTCAAACTCGAATCATGATATGCGTTCCACAAAAGTGCGTAGGGAACAATTTGAAACTCGAGCATTCGTTACTTCTGTCGGTAATAATTGTAGTCAGTGTAAGCAATTGTCGCATCATGTATACAGCTGTCCGGCATTCGGGAAGTTATCTACAGCGCAACGATGGGAGGTAGTGAAAAAAAGTAGAGTGTATCGGAATTGTTTAAGAGTCCATAAAGGAGTGTGCAAAGCTACGCATTGCAAACATTGCAATTCATTCCATCATTCGATGTTACACAATTTCAAACACCAAACTCCAAGTATAGTCACGGATACCACTACAAATGCAACACCTGAATTAAACAAAACACCAAATCCAAATTCAAACCAAAATTGACTAAAAACCATCTCGCTGTCCATTATCTCATGTGCACCACGATCGCAATTAATAATGAGTGCTCTCGTAAGAGTAAGAAATTCCAGGAACGAGTTTATACTAGCTCGTGCACTTTTGGATACTTGCGCAACAGCGCACTTTATAACAGAGCAATTCGCAAAGAATTTAAGTTTACCTATGCGATCGTGCGGCATTCCGATAGGTGCGATTGGCGGGATGACCACAATATCGAAGAAAACACTCGATCTCTTCTTTCGATCGCTGTATAACGACTTCGAAAAGACTCTGACATTTTTAACAGTTGCAAAAATCGCCGACAGTATTCCAAACGAAATTTTTCCACGCGAGTCATTAAACATACCTTCTCACATATTCTTGGCCGATCCCGAATTTCACTTGCCAAAACCTGTTGATATGTTAATAAGGGCAGGTGCCACCATATCGCTATTATCAATAGGACAGATAAATAGGTCAAAAAATGATTACGAAATTCTGATACAGTAAACTCAACTCGGTTGGGTCGTAGTGGGCGGCGCGAAAGGGACTCTTGAAGCAAAAAAGATATCATGTAATCTAAGCGAGTTGAACGATCAGATTGCGAAGTTTTGGACCATCGAGGATAACATTAGTACAAAGGAAGCAAAATTAGCAGAGGAAGCATTATGTGAGACCTTTTACGCGCGAACTACAACGCGTGAACCATCAGGGCGGTATGTGGTGCGACTACCGTTTCGCGATCACGATCGAAGTTTTGGCAGTTCGCGGTCACACGCGCTTCGACGATTCCACGCGTTGGAAAGAAAGTTAAGATCTAACCCAGCGCTCAATACAGACTACTGAAAAGTCATGAATGAATACATCGATTTAAATCATATGTCGTTGATCACGGACGAAAGCGACGACGGATATTATTTACCCCACCACGCTGTGATTAAAAGCACAAGTACCACGACAAAACTGCGGGTTGTTTTTGACGCGTCTGCAAAATCGAACGAAGGCTTATCATTAAACGATAGGTTAATGGTCGGCCCGACCATTCAGGAAAAATTATTCGAACACCTCTTAAAGTTTCGCATGCATACCTTTGTTCTGACAGCCGACATAGAAAAGATGTATAGACAGATATTAGTCCACCCGAACGATCGCAAATTTCAACGTGTTTTTTGGTACCACAACGATAGAATTGCCGTTTTTCAGTTAAACACCGTGACGTTTGGCGTCTCGTCTGCTCCTTTTCTCGCGATTAGGACAATAAAACAGCTTGCAGACGACGAGAGCGCAGAATTTCCGCTCGCTTCCCAAATCTTGAAACGCGATCTTTACGTGGACGATTTATTGACCGGAGCGAAC